AACTCACTTACAAGCATCTTTTTTGGCTTGTCAGATTGCACTTTAACTCTAAAGTAAAAAAAAAAAAAAAAAAAAAAAAAAAACAAAAAACTAAATAAAGTTAAAACTTGTTTTGAACCATTTATTTGTCATCTGATTTTGAGTAGGGGAGGGGAAAATCAATTAAAATCGAAAATCGGATTTATTGTGAAAAAAATCGGAGATTTTATATTTAGGCCATATCGCCCAGCACTACCTGCTTGTATCCCACTGCTGTTAGAGGGAGCTGCAGAAGGTTGGAGCTAAACTCTGACTCTCCTGTCATCCAGCAACAGCAGGTGTCCTAGCTGCGCTGACCTTGTGTGAGCCTGGAAGACAGAGCTTTCCATTGGTTGGCTACATAGGCCAGAATCTTCATGTTGCCTCCCCTTTTACTAACATGTCCATTCACTGACAGCATACCAGACAGTTGTGAGTGCAAATTAACACCAATAGCACCAGAGGATGTACCTGCTTCCAACATCTCTGGCCAGAGAACCAAAATAATTCTGTTGTAGATGAAGCCAAGAAGAATACACAGGTTGGAAGTACTGTGGATGCTAATGTCAACTCGAGCTCCACTGCAAAATTTAGACTCTAAATATTTGATTTAGGAAGCAATTTATTAAGTTAATAAAAACATGCTGATTATAATAATGCTAGAGCACAACCACAAAAACATAAGCATACCAAAGAAATCAATTTATTCAACATCAGCATGTCTCTACATACTCATAATGCAGATGGTGCATCGCTACTGACATCACTGAGTTGCTGAATCTGGAATGCATCTTGGGAATAACTATCAAGTGCCACCAGAGAGTTTGTTAGTTAGTTGTGACCTATGATTCCTTCTGTTAAATCCCAGCTGATTTACCCTAAATGAACCACACGACATCATGAAGTTTGACCGGCATTCAGTTACACAGACCATTCCCCTAACAGTGGTACAGTAGTCCAGAACTGGCTTCTGAATAAAGACCGCATTCATTAAAAGCACAGCCGTCTAATTTCAGTGATGGCAGAAGGCACTGCCCCACAGGCCAGCAGTGCCAAATCCGCTCTCCAACACCCTGGCACCTCTGCTAAGCGTGCGCAGATCTTCGCGGGACATTCCCGAGTGGGCCACACAGAGAGCACGGGCCTGCTCCTCTCTGGCACGTGGCTTTTTGGTTTCAGAAATGCGCCTGCCTCAACAGTGGGGATTTCCCTCAAGCAGAGCATGTCAGAGGGACTGTTAACAGTCGCTGGCTAGCAGGGTGCAAAAAGCAAGGCCACCCCCCATTTTTTCATTCTTAAGGCCCATGGTTAAGGCTTACACCCTCCCTTTTTGGGCACGGGCCCCATGCAATCGTAATGAAAGCTATAGACCTCCACATCACTACAGACCTTTCTTCACCTGGTTACACAATACAAGGTCGCTACTGCCCACTGGATGATCGACCAACCGACTCGTGTCTCGAAACGTGTCATGCCGTGGAAGGCTCTACAAATTACAAATGAATCTAGTCATTGTTTATTTACTGTCAGTGATTGCAAAGAAAGAAAAAAAAAAAAAACGACCCTAAAAAGATGCCAAAAAAAAACATTTAAGATGCAGAGGTAGGAAATATACTATATACTCACTTTTACCACTCTAAGAAACAGTGAAATGTATTCTGTGAAGTCTCTTTCCTTGTGGGTCTTCTAACAGAAAGTATTCATGGTAGAACACCAATTTAGTGTGAGCAACCTGGAGCTGAGCCCTTCGACGCAGACAGCAGGCCACTACCTGCCCTGCCAGAAGGAAGGTAGGGCATTTATTAACACTAATGAAAAGCAGCCAACAGCTTTACCTGCCTCCCTACTCAGTCATGTTTGGCACTTTAACTTACAGGAACAGGTGAGACATTGTTAACACGCGTTTATAAAAAAAGAAAACTAACATCGCTTCCGTATGAAAAAATAAACAGCATCATATTCAACTAAAAAGGACAGGAGGTAGTGGCTGCAGCAGAGTATAGTTTCACTTTTAATTTGAGTAAACAAGGACTCAGAAATCTGTCAAGATAATCAAATAAACTGCTATTTAATATGGCTGGCAGTAAATATGCATCTGCGTGACATCTATTAATCAGCAGGTCGGCTACAGGAAAACACCATTTTTGGCTCCTAAAATATGACTCCACAGTCGACATAATAAACCCTTCATTATGAACAAATTCACAAGCGGCTTGTGGAAATTACTCAGAAGTAGCATTCTTAAAGATCAGAGGAAGAATTCGGGCACCTGGTCCTGCAGCTGAGTGAGAGACGAGATCTCTGTGATGATGATGATGATCCCTTTCTCATACACACACTAGGGCAGGTTTCTTTATTGCAGTGAATGACGAGGGAGCCCCAGAGAAGCCGACCTGTCTAATGAGTTCCTTCGCTGTGTATCTGTCCCTCCTGCACTAGCATCAGGTTTGGTTCAGAGAGGCTCTGCGTCTTTTCACCACTCCCTCCGACATGCCCCCCCTCACCCCATCGGAAATTTAAGCAGAAGAGGCCCAGGCAGCCACCTGTGTGCTAGCAGCTTGCACCTTGACCCGGAAGGGACAGCAGGCAAACACAGTCTCTTCTGCCAAGCAGCCTGTCACATGGTGGTGGTGGGGGGGGTGTTACAAATAATTGTCTCTGCCACTGATGCATAAATTAAATTAGTCAACGTGGTTTAATGGGCCCTTAATGAAGATCTACTGGGGGGGGCTACAAGATAAAAAGAATTTTTCTTCTTAAGCAGTGGATACAGAAACTGCCTGGCTCAGATCACGTCAATGACATCAACATCCCTTCCCTTGTTACATATAAATACTGGGAGAAGAAAAAGGTGTCAAATCATCTATACAAAGTTAAAATAACAATCATACTCTAACAGAAAAAGACCATCAGATCTTCTAACCACAGTTCAACATGCTACGTCTGAAGAAGCCAAAAGCCTCTGAAAGTCTTCGACCGCAGAATCATACAGGCCCTGCTTACTGATGAATGTGCTTTCTGAAAGTGCTCCAACCATGCCCCAGGTCTTAAAAAAAACATATGAAATTACCTAAATCAGTACCTCTAGATAATGCAATGACTGTAAAATCCTAGCACACTGTAACATTCCTACAGAAACAGAAATCACCCCAGCTCCATAACAAACTCTCCGCTTAGATTGATATATTAAAAAGGGACTAAACAACATTTCCAGAGAGATAACAGACAGATCATGATACAGGGTATACATCAGCCATAAGGTTATTTACATAATTTAACAGCCTCTCCTCCACTCACAGTTCCTCACAGACGTGACCCTCATGTCAAGTCTCTCTGTTCACTGAAGCCTCACTACTGCTCCATGTGACCAATAATATTCAACAGTCAAAAGATGGAGGCATTAAGCTCAGAACTGTGGATACACACACACACACACACACACACACACACACACACACATACATACGGTACTCCTACTGCACTAATGAGATCTAACCAGCAAAGAAATCAAACTTTCTTGGTGTAGTTATTTTTACATGCAAGCTCCAAAATCAATGTATTGTTTTAAGTTTCTTATCTTGGGAGCTATCAGGGACGTAACAGCCATGTTGTAAATTATTATGCTATTGCATTATTATGCTATTATTATGCTTCATTTGAATAATACATTCAAATGAAGCAGTTTTCAAGCAAAAGAACATGGAAACTCAAATGTCGCTTAAAACAGGGGATCACTCTATCTAAATTAAGCTGGGGTGGGTGGACACCACATTAACATTTCGTACATTATGCGGAATGAAGGCAGCTGTTTAGGGAGCAGTTTGAAACTGATATTCTGAGTGCCTTTAATGACACCTCCAGCCAGCAAGGTGGTCCGTGAGCTGAGCCCCCCGCCCCCTCACCAGGCCAACAGCCCAGAGTCACCCCAAACTGTGAAACGGTCCCCATCTTTTTATGGAAACAAGGTGTGGTGGTACCCAGTCTACAGAGTAATGGAAAACTCAATAAAAGATTAAAGCATTTCTGGATTAGGTAAGGACAACAACCTACCATAAATCTAAACAAACAAAAGGGTTAAATAGCTTCCACATTAAAAATCCACATTAAAGAAAATGCGGAAATTTCACCCCATTCCCAGCAGCAGGGCGAACAGACCGCAGATTGCACCTTGATGTCCCTTAGTGACATCCACAGGGAGAGTGCGTGACATTGAAACTGATGGCAAGCACTCACCCACCCACCCCCCCTCGCAGGAGACACGAGGCAGCACCGTGCGGGCGGACCAGGTGGTGCGGGGGATACAGCGAGTCTGAGAGGAACCTGAGCTCGACCCGAAGCCCCTCGTGCTGCCGGTACTTTCGGGAGGCGTTTTTAGACCGCCCTCTCATCCATCTTCAACCCCCTCCTTCTCCGGAGTCTGAGCTCACACCCAGCTGTGGTTTTTGGACAAGGATGCAAAGGCCAGCGCCTGGCGACCGATGAGACACACGATCATTTAAAAGTTTTCTTTTAAAAAGCTTTTCTGTTCAACAAACGAGGCTCAAAAATAAACAAACTTACAGCCAACACTTCTGAAAAAGGTTTTGACTAACTTCACGGTGAGCTGAATACTTCGTTTACGTACAGCCAAAGGACAGAACACTAATCTAGGTACCTGATCAGAAAAACAGAATCCCCATATATATATATATATATATATATCATGTAATAAATAACGTACAGCCTGCATGGATATTTTAAAAGTACTACAAATGACAAACTGTGTAGCAAAAGCAGTGTGCCGATTAATGGGGTTGGTGTGTGAATAGACGCGTGTTTTATTATTGTTTTTTTGGGGGGCGGGGGGGGTGGTGGTGTGAGAAAAGATCGCAAAAACACAAAAAAACAAAACCCAGCGAGGCGCAGGCCAGACTTCATGCCGCGCTCAGCGACGAATAACATAATACCAAAATGACAACACGATGGAGGATCCGGCGGAAACGATCGTCGGTCATTTAAAAATCTAATACATCGGACATCGCTAACAATACACGCAAATAAACGCAAACACGCGCCCCCGGCGCACTGACAAGTAACAGGTACAGCGAATTTAAAGTTAAAGCAGCAAACTCAATGCAAAGTGCACATCACGCACACGCCGCATCTGACCGTGATAGTCCTGACAGCAGGGGGTTTTACATCGGTCCGGTTTGTTTACAGGCTGCTGCTCTTATTCTTCCTCGAAGATTTTCAAACACGGTGTGGTGCAGGATGTCAGGCGGGCAGCACCGAGCCGAGCCGGACCCTCGGCTTGCTCACCGTCCCCGGTTCGGTGTCAATCGGGGTGACCCCATCACACGCCTGCCCGTGGGCATCCGCGCAAAGCCCATCAAAGAGCCGTATGAAGCAGCCAGGCCGGCCGGGTACACATGATCCTGACGGCCCGGCCACCCTGGCAGACTGGGCTGGCTGGGACAAGGGCGATCTCTGGGGGAGGGGGATACGGCACATGTGCGGGGAAGTCATTAGGAACAAACAAGGAAGATAAGCAAATAAACAAAAAGAGGCGGGTATCCGGGCTGGATCTGAGCCCGGCGCACACTGCGGGTTACGCCGCCGGGAGTGATGTGAGTAATAAAACACCAGTTAAAATGAGGAGTACACAAGCGGGGGGGGGACGCCAAAACAAGAAAAACACACCGTGAAAAAGCCCAAAAAGGCGTCGAGACGCGGCGGCCGAGCGGACCGAAACTCCTCCAACGCGACGCCGGGGAAACTTCAGTACCGCGCCGCCTCGTGCACTAAAACAATGACCATAAATCATAAACAAATAAAGACGCTTATGGGGAATCACAGCAAGGGGGTGCGGAGTTTGTGGGGCGACCGCCACACCAACGGAAAATTTAATAAAAGCGTGTCCCGAACTGGGGGGGTACTCACACACCTCCCGCAGACGGCGCCTGTCATCCCGGTCACGCGCGTCGGGGGCGCCGTTAGCATGCTAGGCGGCTAGCGGGGAGCCCCGGACTCACCGAAAGACGGTGGGCGCCGAAGCGCGGCGAGGCAGCGAGCCGCCGGGGCACTCACTCCTTCAGGGCTGTCGCTCTCAAACCATCCCGCACGCCCATCGCTCCTTTCCGCCCCGCTTTATGCAGTGGGTTTCTTACTTTTCCGTTCGTATTTTTCCTTCTTCCTCCCCGCGACCGACGAAGCCTTTAACAGCCGAGAGTCCCTGAACAGTCTCAAGGAAGGGAAAAAAATCCTGTCATATTTTTTAATCAAAATGGCGGACATTGTGACAGGAGCGCGCAGCCGGTCGCATGCGCGTTCACGCAGCCCGAGCGTTCATTTATGATTTATTCACTCCGGGGGTATTACGGCATATTCATTATTTTATATAAAGTGCCGCCAAACTCTACTGTGTTAATTTATTCAGCCACAGCACTGGGTGTGCAGAGTTTGCATGTTTCTTCTGCTTTATCTCCCACAATTCAAACACCTGCGGCTCAGGGTAATTTGTAAGGAAGGCTGGACTACTCTTTCCACCTCAGTTCGTAAAGTAAAATAAAGGTTCCCTCAGATATAAATAACGACAGACATGCGAAAGCAAAGTTAGTTGAAAGCGAGTGTTTATCACGTGGAAAACACCACGATGAATACTACAATCCATGCCGTTTTTTACCAGGTTCATCCGTGTCCCCCCCACTCTGGGGATCTCAGGACACGGACCCGAACTCGCTGAACTAGACGGGATTTTTTTTTTGTTTTGGGATGGCTGGGTGAGATCTGTGTACTCACCCTTAGCTACAGCAGAGAGGACGTCCAGAAAGTTTTGTTAAAAGTCCTGATCAGTGAGGAGTTTTGGCTTTTGAAAGTGAAATAATACTGAAATTTTGCATTTTGCCCAGAATCACTTATCTAATGCAGGGTGACACTGCACACAAATAACAGGACAAGCGAAGCCCAATTCAGCTGCTCAGGATCAAACCCACAATCCTGGATTAGAGAGGCCACACCGGTATCTAGCAAGCCTCTGGAACAGCCAATGACTGTTATTAAAGCAAAATTAAAGTGTGATGGTGTAAAGTGACAGGGCACCTAATTGCGCTGGGCATCTCCTGTGCTGAGCACTTACAACAAAAAGACTGCAGAGTAGTGAGCCGGTCTGCACCATACATGGCTGGGCCAGTGAGTATTGTACACTGTAATCAGTAGCAATGATCAATAGAGGCTTTAAATAAGTTTAAGTAACGGACCCTTTTTCAACTCTGATTGCAATGTAAGGTTCTAGAACAATCTAGAAGGTTATAGAAGATTGCCTTAAAGTCTGTGAAATAGACAAAAAAAATGGCATCATGGACATTTTTAGCCAAAACGAATTACATAGATAACAATGTTTATTATGTTTTAGCCGTATTATACACACACACAGTACTGGGCAATTTAGACAGACCAGTCCACCTAAGATTGTGGGACGAGAACGATACAGCCACACATAAATAGCCGCTGAGTCACTGTGCCACATGATTTTTTTTCTCTGTAATGTTGTAAGACCGTAGTCCATTTCATCTACCCATATACTATTTTAAATGCTAAAAATCTGAATACTTATCTATAACCAGTTGCATATCAGCCTGATAGCCGATCACTATTTTATGAGTCATTCATCATCGGATGAGTAGCCTTCCACTTTCGCTAGAGTGTGTTACGTGCCATGTAAGGGCTGCTTCTTAAAACAACCCATAATGCACTTGCATTTTTTTCTCCCCGTCTCAGAGGGTATTGTGTGAACACGCCACGCCGCCTCATATGCGCTTGCAGGAAGGAAGTGGTGCGTCGTTTTGCTTAGGCACAGTAGGGCCTCTTGGTTGCTATGCCGTGTCTGTCGCTGCCTTAGCAAAGCGCTCATGTGAATCGACGCTCATGTACGCCTCAGTACTGGCTTTTGGATACTTTCTCTGGAGCTGGTTCCTGTTTATGAGCACCCAGAATTACACGATATCTGGAAGCTTCCACTGAATGCTTCATTTGAAATAGGGGACTCTGTGATTGAGTTGTCATGTGGGGCTGCAGGACATCATGCTGGCTCATTGTAACCTGCATGGTCACCAGTTCAGGTCCTAGGATGCTATTGTCCCCTTGAAGATTTAATCTAACTTGACTTCTGACTAAAACATCCAGCTGCACACATGGCATACAGAGACTGGCAGAGACCAAGGTGCCATCACCCTTCAGTCCATATTGCACCATCTAATCCATTACAGAGTCACTGGGAACTGTGAGTCAGACCCAGGAAGCACAGGGCATCCAGCAGGGGGCATCCTAAGCGAGATGCCAGTCTATCACAGAGCCCATGCACACACACACTCACACACACACACACACTCTTGTAGGGTAAGCATATCCTTATGGGGACCGCTCATTCATTTCAATGGGAAAAATGCTAACGCTAACTATGACAACCTTAACCCCTACCCTGCCGGTCCCCATAAGGGGAAAAAAAACGGATATTTATCACCTTATGGGGACATTATATCCCCATAAAGATAGGTAAACCCGCTCACACACACACACACACACAGATTAAATATCTATGTCTTTGTGGGGACTGTCCATTTATTTCTATGGGGTTAACCCTAATCCCAACATGGCAACCTTAACCCCTACCCAGCTCTAACCTTAACCATAAGTAACCACACTCACACACACCGTCACACACAACTTGCCATTGAGAGACACCAGTTCATCTAGGTGCGTATTTTTTGCACTGCAGCATGACGACCTGGAGGAAACCTGTGCAACACAGAGATAGGATGCGAACTCCACACTTAGAGTGCGGAGGCGGTATTGAAATCCTCAATCTGGGAGGTGAGCAAAAACAATGCTGTCCACTGAGTCACTGTACCAGCTGATAAAAGCAGCCCAAAGGTGATAGAGTTAATGATCTGAAGGTGTTGTCTGCTGGCAGGAGGCTGTGTGACAGCAGCAGGCTGATCTGATTGGTCAGCTCTCTGTGAGTCATGTGACATGTGGAACAAGGAATGGGGACTTCATTAGAGCATGATAGCTGGTCAAAAGCAAAGGGGGGGGGGGGGCAGGGGCAAAATGAAAGGTGAGGAAAAACACAGGAGGGCGCTGAGTCTGCAGAGTCTAGCAGGGTGCAGGCTTGGGCATCAAGCTGTGGGCGGCAAGAGAAAAAGTCAAACTTGAAAGACACAGGTGACGTGAATGACTGTGCTTTTCAGGTGGCTTCACCCTCACTGGGAGCTTTCTGACTCACCCTCTGTCTTACAATGGCAAAATACGTATCTGGTGAATTCAGAAACCCTGAGGTTAGAATAGTCTTGCGATCTGGTTTGTTATCTATTAACTAGCCGCAACCAAGTGGCACCATTGACATAGGCCTGTGTCTGACGTAAAGTGGCCTTTTGTGTCTCGTGTACGGGGCTGGTTAGTTCAATTCAATTTATTTTTATATACTGTAGCGCCTTTCACAACCGAGTCACCCCAAGGCAATTTACATGGATGTTATACAGTCCTACATTTTTTCTACGCAATAATTTAAACAGGGGAAAAGGAAGACAAAGAAAAGAAAGAAAGAGGAGAGGAACCAAAACATCTGGGGTCCAAGGTTAACAGACCGCCCAACCCTCCCCCCCAAACATGCTAACATTATAGACAAAAGAGAGAATGGGTGTGGTTCCTAAAAGTAAACGGTAAACTAGGTCAAAGTCAAAGCCAAAGTCCATTAGTGGGTCAGTTCGTAAGTTACATCCACAATGTCACCCCTCCATGGGATTTAATCAGGACTCCAGCTCAGATGGTGCCCACCTCAGACCCCTTTTAGTACCTTATATGTAAGTAGGAGAACTTTACAATCAGTCCTGAACCTGACAGGAGTTCAGTGCAGGGAACTAAGAACAGGGGTTATGTGTTCAAACTTCCTGCCCCTGGTGACAATTCTCATTTCTTTGCCGTCACCCTCCTCTCCGTCCTCAACATTTTGCGAAAGTTCCTCCAGGGTACTTGTTGTTGACAGTCAGGCGGTCCTCTCCCTCTCAGAGCAGGGGATGGTGACCGCGGACCAAGAGATCGAGGCCATTAGCACCGAGTGAAAGAAACCCTCTCGCCCACTGTGCCTATAATAATCCCAGGTTCTCCTGCTGGTCACAGCACCAAGTTGTCATTCCAGTGATGGTACGATTTGACCTCCAGCCGCTGCTGTCCTCCCCTCACAGCACGGGCGTGTTTGCCTGCATGTATGCGATCCACCTCATTGCTTCTGTTCTTCCTGTCAGATTATTCGCAAAATCCACCGGCTCCTGAAAAATAAGAGCAGGTGAACGGCTCTATTACGGTTACAGATAAGGTTGCTAAGTGACCCTTTAATGGTTCTGGGTGCTTGTGGTCATTCCCGTTCTATGCAGATGCACTGGATGCGTTTGCTGATTCTGGGAAAGCTGGTGGTTGCTATGGCGCCCACGCCGGTGTGCTCCTCAGAAAGTGCTGGGTCCCTCATCTGTCCCCAGCTTCAGAGTGTTTACACTGGGCCCTTTCTAAGAATTCACATCATCGTCTGTTCTTTTCCCCAATAGTTTGTGAGTCTGTCACGAACTGAGCCTTTAAAATCTTGCTGTTTGTGCCTCAGTGATCACTGCTGCACTTTATACTGGCAGTAATGCTCTTTGTTGAAGTATCGTCCCTTAGATTCTCTGACATTTACTCAGCTCATACTGTCCCACTTGTATAAAGTGAGGAAATATCTAACCAAAGCACTGTTTTTAGGACAGCAAATAACCACCAGTAATCTCTGCTTTTTCATTAAAGTCTGGCGGTGTGTTGTGTCCCGTTCCTCAGCAGGGGTTTTAAGGAGTAAACCGGCTAGACATGGAGCGCACAGCGCTGATGATGACATGCCTTCTAGCTGTGTCTCCTCCTGGGCCGGAGGTGTTGGGAGCTCAATCCTGCCTTTGGTGCTGAAATTTCAGCTTTAAATGCCATCTTTTGGGTGTGGGAGGGTCTTTAGTCAGAAATATTTATTTTTATTGGTATTTAATTGATATAGAATGATACAATGACATTGAATGATACAATGACAGCCAAACAATGATGGTGAAACAATGTTGTGCCAAATCTCCCATGGGGATCAATAACATGAACAAACAAATCACACTATCTATCTATCTATCTATCTATCTATCTGTCTATCTATCTATCTATCTATCATCTATCTATCTATCTATCTATCTCAAACTGGCACTTGGACCCATAATTAATTCAATATCAAGATCAACATCATGCTGAAATAAATAGTTAAGGCTGAGAGCAGCATTTCTGGCACCATCGTGTTTAACAGGACTGTGTGCTGAGTGCAGAAATCATCAACCTCACAGATGTCAGTCTGTCCAGTTTTGGAATTTTAATTGCATCCTCATCCATGCCAAACACTGCAGGTGGGGTGACTTATGGTCCAGATAATTACCGCTAATAAGGCTCAGGATGTAAAAAATGCAGTATCTTGTGACTGAATGAAACTGAGGGCTATTCCATTCAACCTCCCCAGCATTTAAATTCCGTCGTCACAAGTTCTATTAGGCAAAGCAAAGCAAAAACCAGTTGAGTAAAGGAAATTATGTACGGCCTGAGTGGTGGAACAGTTTCCTTTTATGAATTTAACAGCAGCTAGTGAATTTTTAATACCCATCAAACACAGACGTTGAGTTAATTCATTCATTCATTCATTCATTCATTCATTCTTTCCTTCGTCTTCCATCTTCTCAATAGGGTCAGGGTGAGCCTATCTTAGGAAGCACAGGGCACAAGGCAGTGAATCACGCTGGATGGGGGTTCCTTTCCATCGCAAGCCATGTCTTGCTCATACTCTGTTAAATTATTTAAAGTCTTCTGCTAAGTTATACTCGCGGCGATCTTACAAGAAGTAAACCTTCTGGGAACTGTGGAAAGACGTGTGTGTAGCGCCCTCTAGTGAACAGTGCTACAATGAAAACCATTACAGTACAGTGACGGTATTAAAGGCATTAACGCGACGATACGTTTCCGACTATTGTGCTGTGTTTCAGTGTTATGAAAATGCGGTGAAATGTCTGTTTCCTGTATTTATGCGCTTCTTCCCGCAGAGACTCGAAAAAACGTTTTTTTCCCTTGAAGCCGTTCACAAAAGGCAAAGTTAACCGGCAACCAAGTGAGCCGTCATGGTATCTGAAATTATTAGGGCGTCAGTCGCAGAACCGGTTTGGTCTAAACCTGAATTTCCATTACGGTGCTTTCCACTCCCGAGCAGATCAAATTCGGTGATTAGCCAGATGGACGGAACACCGGCCTTCCTCTGGAAGAGAAACCATTACAAAGCAACTCTACTGTGTGGAGTGTCTACTGCTTTGTGATTTAAGCTCTTTTTTTTACGCATTTCTCTCTTTTTTGTGAAACGGAAGCTATCCTTCTTACTTTATGTTCTTTTTTTCAATGCAAGGGCATCTTTAGACCTATTTTAGGGGGAGCTTTAGACCCCCCTCCAAATAATGATTTTTATATTATATATGTTTGACATCGCCACCCCCCCCCCTCCAACCATTTATCTCTAACTATGCCACATTGCAATCCATACTTAGATTATAATTACGTCATTAAATTTAGCACATAACTTCACACCTGTTCCTACAGTCAGAAGGTGTCAGCAGGCTAGTTCATATGAAGGAAAGTTACCATATAAAGGCTTGTAAAAAGAAACGTCTCACTACTGAGACCAGGATGGTTCAAAGACTAATACTACAAAGCCAGACTGATAAAGGGCAGTTCTCTCTTCCTGACTGAGACTGGCAGTAGACTTCAGCATTAACCTCAGCATGGGTACTGAGTGTCAGAATCAGTCCACGGTTGTGGGGTCAATACCATGACAGCAGCAGTAGTGTTTACAAGAGGAAGTCAGGGGTTTATGGGATGCTGGGGGGGGGGAGGGGTCCTGGACGTGTCTGTAACCTGCCAGACCAGACCAACATTTCTCTCATTTACTGACTGATGGCATGTTGGCTTGTTTCGTTTGCCATAACGCTGCTGTTTATTCAAACTTTTCACCTTAAAAGCGCATCACATTCTCATTCTACAAGGGGAATTTTGAGCAATAAACCGCGATAAACCTCCCACACCGATACTGACACTTTCGTCTGTTTTATGATGCCTTAATGGGAAATCCCAGCAGATCCCCACCAAACACGGGAGCATCCTGATGTTCAGTCCACGGAATGGGCAAAACAGTCAATATGTACAAATATACTGCAATCTTGGCCCAGGTGGAACCAATCAATTTCAGTTATTGTGGTCACATGACCCCTCAGAGCCAACACTGCCCACCTTGACTTTCTCACCCCTATACAATATGCTAATCCTGTTTTCTCACTCACTGTTTTAGTCTGATTTGTTAGACTTCTTGGTAACGTGCCTTGAAATCACGTACTAGTTAATGCTAATGAATCACATCAGTAAATCTGATTTATCCCACGCCATGTTTCTGGCATGTATTGCCTGCAATGCCGCTATAGGCTGACTCTGAAGCTCCTTGTTTTATTGAACTTCCACCTGTGTCCCACTGTTGCTATTCAGAGTCAATTACCACACCTCACCTGTCCTGCTAGACATGAACGAATCTCACCTGTACCAGGTGTGACTGTGGACCCCACGTCCCCCACCTACAGAACTGCCAACCTGAACTTTGGACCATGACAGCAGCTAAATCATGTGAATTTCTCCCATAAAAGAATCACGAGGTCAGAGGGGGAAATTCTGATGTCAGACAGTTTAATCTAGCGAATCATTACAAATTAAATTGTGACATATCACACACAAAATAATTTATTGATAAATTATAATAAAAAGCACAATGAATGACATTTAATACTAAATCAGGTTTACGGAACTGAATCCAGACGGTACCTCATCTTTTGTAATTTGAACCTTCTGTGAGTTTTATTTTATTTTTTAACAAAATACATCAAAACACATGTTTAACTAAATAACAAATTAAAACAATCCCTGAGATTGTATGTCCAGATTGATTAATGTCATTCAGTCTTCATGGTTATCAGAGTTATTGTGTGGGACAACTAAAAGTAATCAGCCCAGAATTACAGCAGCTCACTGAGCCAGCTCTAGAAACCTTCAAAAGCCCCCAAGGTTTGCAATGAGTGCCCCCCCGGATGGTCGTTGTGTCTTAGCCTCCATGCTGGTTTGGAGTGTTCTTCCATGACTTTGAGTCCTCATTTCCCTCAGGGTTCTGGTGATACTTGACCGCTTCTTTATTTTTGTTGCCCTTCCTTGTTTGAAACACCTCCCAGTCTTCACAACCTCCCAGAAGTTCCTGTAAATTCTCTCGTCTTCTCAGTAGCCTACAGAAGAGCTCCCTCATCACCAGATGTCGACGAGCCTTGGCCGGACCATGCAGAAGATGCGCAGAATTTCATTTCAGGAATTTGTTCTGGAGTGACTCCATCTCAGCAAGAGGAGAGTATGCATGAGTAACATACTGCATTTAGGTGTGTGGGAAAAAAAACTATATAAATACAAAAATATGCTTCAAATGTTCTATATGAAGCTGTCAGTACAAAGGAGGGTTCCATGTTGTATCCCTTGCTGGCTGCAGTCTGCATATTGCTTCTTTGGGTGCCAGTGTGTTCCCCAGTTTTGTCCAGCTCAGTTTGCGGTCAGGGATTCGTCGTAGAAGGCCTTTTCCAGCAGAGGCATCCTCTCACCCATCGCCTCACGGAAGTTCTGCCTCTTCCAGCCATACACAATACTGTCCAGGAAGCCTTGGAGGGAGATGGTCAACGCCTGCAGGGGGAGAGCGAGCTTCCATTGAGCTTCAGCAGCAAAGTGATCCGGAATTGCCCCACTTTGCCTTTAAGAAGGTTTAAATGTCTGCAGACAGAAAAACAATGAGCCCTACCTGTGTGACATAAAGAGGAAACAGCGTTTCCTGGGGGATGCTCTGTATGAAGGACAGAACAACAAGTACAATGGCTGTGGAGAGAAGAAAGTTTTATTACTAGGTGCCATCCTGGCAGCCATATTGATAGCATGGTTTCTGTCTGGGCCTTCAGAACAAAGTATAAAATAGCCAAAATGTTACATCCTCTAAGCATTAATCACCATCAATTTACAGAAAATTAAATAGTTCACAAAATACCTCCATCAATTGTAAAGATGTCTCAAATTCAGTAAAAAGATCAGTGTTTATAAGATTAAAACACTATTAATGTACTACAAAGTGAAATCAGGTTATTCCTGTAATTTAGTTATCAAAAGTAATCATTCTGTATTAATAGAATGTATACAATTAACACACTAACAAAATTATCAGTATGCAAGTAGTGTGTGAGTAGCATATAGGTAGCACTTGAGTACCATGCAAGTAGTACATGAGTAGTGTATAAGTAGTGTGCATAGTGTATGAGTAGCATATAAGTAGTATGAATGTAGCGGGTCAGTAATGTGCAAGTAGCACAACCTGGGGTCCAGCAGAACATGATGACCAGAACCATAGAGTTGGCTGTCATACACGAGCCCCTCAGCTGTCTGCGGCTGAAGCCATCCCCTTCCACTGGGAACATGGTCCCGCCCTCGTACCTTCTGAGCCAACAGCTCACCTTGTGGTATATCACCTGACCAGGGGGTGGAAGGTGGCCGTGAATCACTACAGTGATGAATTTACATTCCACAGAACAGGACAATATGCTGTAAACACTCTATACCAGTACACATTGCCTGCATTTAATTATGTTCATGTATTTTTTTTTACATTTGGTTTTGTTTGTTGATTTAGGATTGTGTTCTCGATACGGCGACTACTCGGTCTTCAAACACGTACCGCACAGCAGACGAGCACTGACAGCGCACTTATTAAGAAAAAGCATTTCACAAATATGTCATGTGCCACGTCCTGTCAATAAAACAAGCAAACAAGACAGAACTTTTCAATAAAGGGACCATAACCGTTGGGGCTGCTTAAATTGCATGCTGGGAATCGCACGGAACCTACCGGATGTGTGCAGGTATCGTTCCTGATGTGCAGGAATAGGACGCAGCTGTGTGAGAGACGACAAGAAATCAGGTGTTGAGGGAGTTACACATATCTTTTGACAGAAGTAGGACTGCTGTGACCAATATACAGAGCTCATTTTTCTGCCTCTGTTATTTCTCAAATGATTAAAAGGTTATATGTTTCATCTGCTCAGCAATCTGTTATCTCATTTTGTTTAAAGGCACTTCTGGTCCTCAGGCACTATGCTGTAAACAGGCATCTTGACTATACGACTGCATGCACGCTGCTTCAGTTTATGTAGGTCGTTATGAATACGAGGGCCAGCTGGACCGACCTTGGGCAGAATGTGACACTCTGCTAAGGTCTTTATAGGCTGCCATGGATGTGACATCAAGGCCAGGCAGAGCTACCTTGAGCAGAACATAGTGTACTTCTCGCTCATTCCTTCGTTGGACACTGGATCCTTCGGCCATTTCACTATCCTGGCTGATACCAAAACCTCTGTGGCGATGTAGAAGAAGTAGATGATGACAGGGACCATCCTGAGGAAGAAGGGAGTCTGGCTGAGTCTTAGATCTAGAGAAAACCAGGCAGAGTGACAGCAAGAGCAGAAGGCCATGTCGTATGTGTAGGTTTCCTCACCACGCTATGACGTAGGAGATGGGTGACGCCACACCTGCTCCTCTCTGTGACTGCAGAAGAAGAGGGATGAAGAGACAGACAGACCTTCTCAAAGATACTATTCAAGATTTTTTTGTCATCTCACCATTTAAGGATACATGTGCAAAAATGTGTGTTCTCCACCCGCTATATGGCTACCATGATTTCCTGAGGGTCCACAGTGCGATTATGGGAAGAAGTAAAGATAAATTATAATATAAAGCTAGAAAAAGCATACGCTCCTTCACACCTCCGTCCGTCCCTGAGAATTCACTCGATCGCCTTAACCCATTTAGCAGAAAATGTGTCGCTTGTTTAGGGAAGGTACGGTTGGAGCTGACATCCGATAATCTCACTCCAGATGCTCACCCCGTCCTGAGTGCCGCTAGGCTCCTCCCTCCAGCCTCCTGCTGCCTGCTGAGACTCATGCGCGTAGACCACAACCAGCAGGAAGGAGACACAGTAAAATGCCTGTAAAGTTAATTGCAGAGCGCATAAGTTTGTCCAACCTCAATCACCCCCTTTATGGTTTAACTATTGGACTTCATGACATCTGTTAGCTGCTTTCAGTTCTCAATTAAAAGGAATAAGAGCTGCCAGTCTTGTTTTTTCAAAGATCTGACCCTTTCACGGACCATGAAAAGTCAAACTAGCTGGGTCTGACATTGCCTTGAAGGATATTCCATGTTGTTCGAGGAGGGGGGGGAGACAGTGCTTTAAAAGAACTCCCAAAGTGTGAGTCACTCTGAATATTAAGCAAATATGAATTCTACAACCAACCGACCCCCCCCCCCCCCACACACTGCGTGAAACATGAGGGAGGCGCACTTGCCAGACAGAGGGGAAGCAGCCGCTCGCAGACTGGGATGCTGTCGGGCCACTTAGCGGACGGTACCATGTTCATGATGTTGATGAGGAACAGCAGGACAGTAGCCAGGAAGTCTGCCAGGGCCAGCTGGAGCAGGGGCCAGGCCTGGGGAGGGGGGGGGGGCACAAACAGACCCAAGAAAATGTTAGCTTAACTGCCTTGCTCGGCTTGTTAGACAGATAAAGTGGTCATCGTTCCAGAAACCCAGATTCCACTGTCCAGCACCTTCAGAACACCAGCCATCCCAAGATCTTCTTAATTACTGACACCGGGCTTCGAACCCATATTTGCGCATGTAGTCATTCTGGGTTTGAATGCATCTCTGACTGGTGGGGAGCAAAGAATGACGACATGACTCAAAGCAATAGGAAGTGTTGCGTTAAATGAGAAACACTCAGATGGGAGTCTGCAGTCAGATTCGTAGCAGAAAGACACAGCGAACCTACTTTACACATTGGCTTGAAAAATACAATTTACAGTATTGCTAAACCAGGTATAATATTAAGTTAAATTTCAGGTATTTGTGATGAATGGAGATAGAGTGGTGGGAATTTTACAGCGATATCCAGCTGCATAATACTGGAATCTACAGTATTGCTTCACCGGGTAGGCCTATTATATTGGCTTGAACCTCAGGTATTTGTGGTGCATGGAGAGAGGTGTGTCTTACGTGAAACGCATTAAGGGGATTTTACAGGCATCTCCCGCTGTCTCATGCTGAACCAGTACAGTCTTTCGGTGCTCGGCCACACACCCGGATACATATTCATTGTCGTCGTCGAATTTCGGTAAAGAGTTTTATTTATTTTTTTGCTTGTGTGTGACTCACCTGTTTGTTCAGATGGCGTCTCTTAATGATAGCTGCCACCAGGACAGACGAACTCCCAAGCAAACTGCAACATAACGCAAAACAGGTTGAGGAACACAAGCTCTGTGACAGATAAGAAGAAACATCAGCTGACACAGCAGCAGTTAATCTGCAGCCTATCCATCGTGGTATCGCTCAAAAGCGATGAAACTACATGGCAATAAATTTACGAATAATCAACAACTGTCCTACATTAATCTTTTATTGACGCCTATCTATGCTATAGTATAATAAAGCCTGACCTACATGTTTACTGACACACTGACCTGGACGAACAACAGCGTCAATAATACACATTTAATCAATAGCAAGGAAAATAAGGGAAATGTTTTATTTGATCATTTACAGAGAACGTTAATCTCAAGCATTCATATCTTTCTTGTTTTACTCCCCATTATCGAGATACACCTGCAGAAGGCGTTTAAAGAACTACTGCATTAGATTAAACCCACGAATACTTGAATAGTAGGATTTGAATAATATGTGTCCTCGCGCTAATATGTAGAAATATATCTTGATCTTTATAATAGACAAAAAAAGACCCAGAAATGAACAATAAAGTAAACAGGTCAACTTCATCGGATTTGGTATATCCCCTAGATTTATATATAAAAAATAAACATGGGTATCTCTTCAGTGCGGTCACCGCTTGTATATGTACGTAGATTCGCCTGCATAAATGATATAATCCAAGGCCTGCAGAACTGGGGTGATTTTAACGGGTGCTGTCCGGTGGATTGAGTGCTGAACATTAAGAGGGTGTCCGTACCTGAATTCCCATCTGTGTATACCGAGTGACGCGTTAGCGCTTAAAGCTGGACTTCAGTCGCAGGGAGTCTGGCTTTAATAATCTGATAAAATTCTGGACGCATTATTTTAGGCATTTTTCCGTGGTTAGTAGTAATCTAGGATGCAAATGAGTGATGTGCTTTAACCCCGCCCCTTTAATCGATGCTTTATCCACTACTTTGTCTTAGGAATTACTGGTACGAAGCACATCAACCATTAACTGCTAAACATTAAACCTGGCTGGGGGGTGAGCGCGCTTTCACTCACTTGTCACTGGGCTGGGACAGCAATGTTTAAGATACGTGTCATGTAATGGCTCACATGGAGTGATTTAGGCGCCAAGTAAATAAAAACTGTGGAAAAGGCATCCTTACCTTAATGACAACGATGATAAATACACGATAGATAATGTTTCAATCTGAAAGACATCATTAAGACATTATAAATAAGAAAAGAAATATTAAAACAAAATGCACGACAATGCAAACACAAAACTTTTCAAACATTTTTCAGAACTTTTCAAAGCATATTTAACGATGAAACTTTCTAAATTCCTACTTGGCCTCTAATCGCCGGAGCGTAAGGCATCAGGCGTCAGGCTTCGGGTACCTGGTCGTTGGTCAGCGCGGTCTGAAATGCGCCGCCGTCCCGCGGCTCCATGGCCAAGCAGATGATAAACAAAGCGATCCTGAGCTACCTGCAGCTTTTCTTGTTTCCCTCTGGCGTTCATTAACTCGGTCTCCGCCCATGGCCGGTCATTGCATGGTGAAAGTGATTGGCGACACTGTCGTCAACTAGTAAAAGCGGAATTAAATCTTAGCGTGACACGGGCAGGAGGCATTGCGAGCTGATAAATACGGAATAAAGCAAGTTTCACTTTTCCGATGCTACGGATTAATTCGAAGTGTCAAAATTACTCCAGAGATACACAGTTTGTGTGCTTACCAGCTAAAAGGCTGCCGGGTCCCAATCAGATCATATAATATATGACACATCCAGGGACGGATTAAGGTGTACAGAGGCCCCTAGACTACAGTAGTCTGTGGGCCCCCCACCCCCACCCCCCTCAGAGCCAATGGGGGCCCCCTTGCAGGCTGGCACACGTGGGGCCCCTAGGCTTAAGCCATATCTAGCCTGTGCGTTAATCCGCCCCTGGACACATCGCACTAATACTTACAGTAGGCGTTCATCAGTAAAACTCCTTCTTTGTTCTTCAATAACTCGGACAGAGCTAGACAAATCCGCTTGTTGCTCATATGCACCACATGAGTGGAATTCATTACAAAACATTATAAATTTGGACTCCCTACCCCCTCTAAATGTTTTCAAAAATCTTTTAAAATCAGTTCTTATACAACAGAGCCATTGTTTTTCATAATTTGTAGCCCATATATTTATATAAATATATGTTTTAAATTATTTTAATCTTTCTTTCTCTTCTCCTTGTCCATAACTCTGTCTTTTTGACAATTGGAATTTCCATGTATTTTAGTTTGATAGTCTGTGTTTATTGTATTGTATTCATTGGTACGTTTGTATGTCTTTAGGTGTTAATATTACAGGTTCTATGTGCATGTTGTTTGTTTATGTTGGAACTTTTGTAACATAGCACTGCCACCTTGGCCAGGACTCCCTGGAAGAAGAGATAATGTATCTCAATGGGACATTCCTGGTAAAATAAAGGATAAATAAAATAAAATAAAATACTAATAGAACACATTTAGTTGTAGTCCTGTCTTGTAATACTGTATACCAATATCCCCCATCTATGCTGGCTATTGTCATCAACATATTCATAATTTAATGACATGTAAACGATATGATGCATATATCAAAACAAATAATTAAGCAATCACTAGGGAAAATAATTTTATTTTGATTTAACACTTATTAAAATATACATCGGTGTGAATTTATGTTTAACATTCAAGCCCCTTAAATAGTGTTTCCAAACGGTGTCAGGTAGATAAGCAAATATACACTGCATATACTTCAAAGTACAACAAAGGGTACACAAGGCAAGTACTCGTTCCACCTTCTTTGCATTCCTAAGTCCTCAAATAGTTCGGCTATCTCATAAATTCACACTTGCACTGGGATTTTCATACTCCTATCAGCAAACTCTGATAGTCTAAATCCATTTTTGACCGTGCAGCTGACAAAACGCACCTGTCTGTTCCACCAGAATAGGTGCACCATTGCAGAGTCTGCTGGGTGTCATATCACCTTCTGATCTTTATATTGCACTCATTTCTGTTTACAGGAATGCTCAGGTGAGCCAGCAAAATCTCGTGACCCGTGGGGGTGGGACATGCATATAAAACAGTCAAAAGTCCCGGCGTTTATTGTTTGCACCGCGTTTGGGGTCTTGCAAGATCCACCTTCTTTTAATTACAATATTCTACAAATTACACAGGACATAAAAACAACAGTTGAACAAATAATACATTTTCCCTTCACCGCATAGCTGGCTTGACTTTGGAAATCAGGTGCGAGATACCAGCGAAACTTAAGGATATGAAGGACTCAACAAACACAACCACAAACCAACACAGGAGCAACCGCCGGCATGACAGCTCGACAGAACCAGAGCTTAAGCAAACAAGATTATTGGTATAATCCTTGGGAAATTCCTATCGTATTCCCAGTGCTCGGCCCCAGTAAAGTGACCAGTGGGCAATACTGCCTAAATACATACAGTACAATCTTTTACTTTTATAGATTTTCCCACCTAGTTTTTTTAAACAATATAAACAAATCCCAAACTAAACAGGAACAAAAGTATTGCCAAATCAAACTGATAATATTGCTGCGGGGGAAAGGGGTCACATGTCGGTCGCGGTGAACGGAGAGGGCAGTTATGCGCGAGTTTGAGCTGCTACGCGAGTACGCGCATCATATTCATTAGCGGGCATCACGCATAGCGCCCCATTGAGATCAGTGTCTGCAAACGGCAAACAAGTACAGAGCGATAAGGAATTACGACCCCCCCTGGCAGTGTAATTTTATTTCAGTGACATGAACGGCGAAGCACAGTGGCTAAGGCAGTTCGGAAACCTCTTATGGAGACCCCTACAGGCACAAAAAGGAACTTCACTCCTGCGCCAAGGTGGTGATAGAAATGTCGGCCGGTAAATGCAGGCTGAACCTTTGGAAATCGTTTGGGAATTTACGTCGCAATTTCTCCTGTCACTCAGGAATTTAAATAAATACAGAACAGATAAGTAAAACGTCACTATAAAAATATTTTGCAGAGTCAGAAAAAGTACCAATAATCTTTTGAATTATACCAATATTTCCCAAACAGGTCCTCTGGAACCCAGACCTCCCAGCAAAAACATGAATTGTCTGTGGGTCCCTGAGGACTGGGGTGGGTAACACAGAATTATACAGTACATTAGTGAATGGGACTAAGTTGAATTGTTAATCAGCAACCAGTGGGAACAGACTGGGCCGCTGTGTGGAGTAGGGTAACCCAGCATGTGATGGACAGGGCACTGCAATACCACACGCTGTTGGGTTTTGACCCCCGCACCTCTCATAACTACCGTATCCCCCCCCCCCCAAGTGACATTATCTCATTGCTGGGCTCCACCAGCTCTGTTCCTGCAGTTTCACCACCACCTGCTTCTCCTGGGGGCTGAAATGCAGGATGGTGAGGATGGCAGTGAGGGTCTGCCGGCGACCATGCGCGTCGGCCAGCGTCAGAAAGCGGTACATGATGTTCTTCAGGTACTCCAGGTTGGCGCCCTCGCGGCTCTGGTCCCTGGCCAGCTTCTCCAGCTGGGCCTGGAGCACGGACACCTCGTCCTGGTGGCCCTCCTCTTGCGAGACAAGCCTGGCCTGCAGCTGGTGCACGTCAGCTTCCAGCTGGTGCTTCTGTTTCCTCAGGGTGCCGACCTCCAGCTCGCGCCGGGCGAGCTCCTCGGCATACAGCAGCAGTGTCGGCTCGTTGGGGCCCACCAGCTTCAGCGCCTGGGCGATGACGTCTCCCTGGTCAGGATTTGCGCCCTCCTCCACCCCCACTGGCCTGGCCTTGGCCCGGCCCTGCCTGAGAGCCCCGGCCCGCAGCTGCTCCAGCTCCAACTCCTTCTCGGCCAGCAGGGAGGCGGTCCGGTCCCGGTGTCGGTGGAGCTCGTCTTCCAGCCGGAGGAAGCGCTCGCGGTGCTGGGCCTCCAGTCGCTCCAGCTCCTGCCGGTGACCCTGCTGCAGGGTGGCGGCCTGCTGCCGCTGGATCTCCAGCTCGTGCCCGTGCCGCGCCTCCGCCTCGTCGCAGTGCAGCCGCAGCCCGATGTACTTCTCCTTGAGGTCGGCCAGCTGCTCGCGGGCCGCCTCCAGCTCCCTGGCCACGCCCCCTTCCTTGGCGTTCTTGTTCTTGAGCACCACCTGGGCGCGCGCCTTGTAGCGCTCAAATTCCTCCTTGAGCTGCTTCAGCTCCTGCTGGTAGTAGAGTGCCGAGGCTTTCTCGCCGTCGGACGGCTCACTGGGCTCCGCCTCGGCCGTCTTCTCAATCTCCAGCACTGAAGGCTTCTGCGAGGCCAGAACCAGCAGCTTCTTCAGCTTCTCCATCTTCTCCCGCAGCACGTTGACGTCCAGGCTGGTCTCGTCCAGCGCAAGGTCGGCGGGGGCCCTGGCTGCAGCGGCAATGGCCAGCGTCTTGTTCTCCGTGTCCAGCTGCAGGATGCGTTCACGTAACTTCTGCGCCACCTGCTGGTCCTTCTGCCGTGCCTTCTCGCAGGCGCCCACCAGCGCCGACAGCTCTGACACCCGGTCCTCCAGGCTGGCCACACGGCCCTCCTCTAGCCGGGCCTGCTCCCGGAGACGCTCCTCTGCCTGGACAGCCTGCAGGGACACGGGCCAAGGGAATGTGGTGTTAATGGCTGGGCTGCGCTACGTGGCTAGCAACTAACACAGGCTGGGCTGCGCTACGTGGCTAGCAGCTAACACCGGCTGGGCTGCGCTACGTGGCTAGCAGCTAACACGGGCTTCGCTGTGCTACGTGGCTAGCAGCTAACACCGGCTGGGCTGCGCTACGTGGCTAGCAGCTAACACGGGCTTCGCTGTGCTACGTGGCTAGCAGCTAACACAGGCTTCGCTCTTGCTACGTGGCTAGCAGCTAACACAGGCTTCGCTGTGCTACGTGGCTAGCAGCTAACACAGGCTGGGCTGCGCAACGTGGCTAGAAGCTAACACAGGCTGGGCTGCGCTACGTGGCTAGCAGCTAACACAGGCACTACAAAGCTAGCAGTTAACTGTGCAACTGGGATCCCAACCAATGAATTAAAACCTCAATCATTTTAGTAAAAACTCAATTGAGTAAAAATAAATGAAAAAGTAAGAACTGGTAAACCTATTTAAATAAATAAATAAACATCTGCTTTGACTAAAAGTGGGTGTACACTTGTAAATGTTGTAGTTTAGTCATACTAATTGTACATTATTATGTTTATGAAATATGGAAAAACAGAAACAGACCATTTAATGAAATGCCAGATCCTGAACATATAATTCTTAGTCAAATATACACTTTTACAGGTTATTCTTTTAGTCAGTACAATACAAAGATGATCATTTGGCATAAAGAAAAAAAAAAACCCTACTGTCTAACTGGATGCTATGTCTAAAGCTCAGGGTGGCATCACCTCATAGATTTTACACTTTAAGTTAAAATGTTAAAATCTAGCTGACGGTCGCCATGACGGGAAGACCCGGCACCTTCCGGATCTCCTGCTGCAGCTGCCCCTCCAGATGCAGACGAAGCTCGGCCATCTCCTGCTTCAGTTCCTCTACACGTGGGTTCGGCCTGCTCCTCTCCGCCTCAGCCGCCTGCAGGTTCCTCCTCATCTCCTCCCGCTCCTGGGAGAGCTGCCGCAGCTGCGCCTGGTACTCCGCCCCCCTGTCCGCCTCTGCCATCTTCTCTAAGAGGGCCTCCCTCGTGTCCTCCAGCTTGAGCTCGGCGTCCTGCCGCATCTCCCGCTCCTCCTGCAGGAGCTTCTGCAGCTCACGGAGCATCAGGGCGTGGTCGCTCTGCTCCTGGCCACGCTCGTGCTGCTGGGTGATCACACGGGCTTTGCTCTCCACCAGCTGCTCCTGCAGGCTCCTCAGCTCTGCCTCATTCTGGGCGGCGGCCTCCTCCAGCTTGCGTTGCAGCTCCTCATAGTCCTGCTTCATCTTCTTCCTGTCGGCTTGGAAGGAGGCCTCCATGCGCGACTTCTCCTGCGTGACCGTGGCCAGGGAGCTGGTCAGTGTGGAGAGCTGGGTCTTCAGTTGCAGGATCCGCCGATCCACCTCGCCCACACTCTGCTGCTCCCCACTGCCCGAACTAATGCCGCTCTCCGAGCCACTGGCCTCCTCAGACCTTTGGGAGGTGCCGGAGGCCCCAGTACCCGTTTCTCCAGTGCTCCCATCTTCCTCCACAAGGTCACCCTTTGTACTGCTGCTGGTAATACTGGTGGCTGTGTCCCCAGAATTGGCAGTGTCGACGCTGTCCTCGCTGTGGATGGAGCAGTGATCTTCTGGAGAACGTGGTTCCAAACCTGGAAGCTCCCCTGCTGAAACCTCCCCACGCAGGCTGAGGTCAGCCTCCTGAGACACTGTCAGAACTTTGAGGCTGGCTTCCAAAGCCTCCTTCTCCTTCAGGAGGCTTTTGTATGCCCTGACCACATCTTTGAAACGGGTCTGATACTGGATCAGCTGCTTCTTCTGTGCCTCTATGGTATCCAGAAGCTCTTTCTTGTTGGGGCCACCTCCGAAGCTCATGCCAAACTTGTCCATAGCTGCTAGGATGGTTTCATAACTGGAACTGGTGCACTGTTAAAACAATAAATTGTAGAAATATCATTAACAGTAATAACATCTCCAAGTGATTACAGCAGATAAGTCACCTGCAGTAGTTATGTAGTTCAGCAAACATTGCTGGCATCATTCAGGCGCAAAACATGAAAGTTTAGCATCCACCGCTGTTGGACAGGTAACGCAAGTTAGGGTGCTTTAGGATACGAAGGAAGGCACCTTCCCGTCGATTTCGTTAAAATCTCTTTCAATAATAACTAGCTAATAGAAATTACGACACCACAATTATCCACACAGATTTACAATTTTAAGACATAAACATAATGGACAAAGAAGCTATTTATTCAGTGAAGACCCCTTACATTTAAAAAGTTGAAGAGGCACCAGTCAAGGCTGCGCAGCCCGGCAGGGCGTCGGCAAACGCGCTGATTGCCCCGTTCCGGCACAAATTAGCCTTCGCTACACACCTAGCTCCGTATTACCGCTCACTATCATTCTGCTATTTCGCTTAATTTGTTTACATTACGATATTACAACCCTTAAACTTACGTGTCCACTTCTACGCAGCCACTTCCTTAAACCACTAACGGAGTAGGGCTGGCTGTCAATAAAGCTCAGCGTCGCCGGCGGAACTCGAATGAGGCCATTTTGAGAAGGTCAGGTGGGGTTTTATGTGTCCTTTCATTCGTTTTGAAAGCCTAATAATAGTGGCAAAACGAACTTTATTAGAATATCCCCTGATCGTGATCATCACACTATACAATAAGTTTCTAGCCACGCGAACTCCAAGTTACTTGGATCATCCAAGACCTGACAATGCACACTATGTACGGTACATATAAAACTGTAATCGACAACCGCCTTTGCTTATATAACCTATATACACACTAATAATTCATTTGTTTATGCAACAGAATTATTCATGACCAAGCCGCTCAGTAGGGTACGTTAGGTGTGCATTTATATAATATTAGATATTCTGTGACACACTTTAACGAGCAAATTTACAGGAACAAACAGCCGGCTGTTTGTTTATAGTGTTGTCAATAAAGTTTCGTGAAAGGGTGACGTCATTTGTTCCGCGTTGGCCTGGACGTGGCAAGGAAGGAATGCTATAGAATCGCCCACACAGTGCTAAGATCGCATTCCACTTCGGGATTTTTACCTTTTAAGAAAGACATTTTTAACACGGCATGGGACTCACCATATCGTCGCTTTTTTCTAAGCTGTTTGGCAAAAAGCAGATGCGAATATTGATGGGTGAGTTACAGCTGGTCAGCGAGTAGGCAGATTGTAGCAAAGGATGGGGAGGCAAGTCCAGGGGCTTTTATATTGCATGTCTTTATGTTGTCAGCTTAGCTGCTATATGGGGTCCCTAGGAATAGCTGAATTCGATATTTTCCAGAGTATTATTTTGAGCAGTTAATGGTCAGATATCTGGCTGTCTGGTAACTTCCCCATAACTTTATATTCAGCTGTGTGAATATCACAGTGCTATACCAACGTGAGAATAGTTATAATTGATCTGGCTTTGCATTATAAAACCATGTGTTAGAAGTGTAGCAATATATTTCTTAGAGCCCGTTATTGAATTGCTGATAAGCTCTTTTTTGTTTCAATGTTTATATAATTTTATATTTGGTCAGCTTCTAGCTGCTTTATTTGTTTTGACAAAGTCGTCGTGAAATTGCTTGCCATGACCCTACAAATGATCTAACTACATAACACATTGCACTAAGCTGGTTTCTAAGATCCCTTTATAAACTTGCAGAATTCCTCAGTGCATTGCAGTGTGGAGCCGGTTGTGATGGTGACACCACATGCTTACCAGTCAGAGTTGGACATATTCCACTGCCGGATCTTTATTGTGAAGGCCCTGCCTGCTTAGCGTTAGTTAGCGGGGGGCTGGGCAAATGGCCCTCTTTCAGATTTACTCTTGAATTTATTAGGACACTTTAACAACTTTAAGGAGACCATGGAGAGCTGCTTTTCACAGTCCATATTTATAAATATCCATATTTACTTCTAGGGCTATTTGCCCAACAGCACGAATCAGGAACTTAAGTCTTAATCAGTCTTCCTGGACCATGTTATAAAACATTAAAAGTGTCACCTAAATACTGATTTTTGCTTTTTGATTCCTGTCATTCCTGAACTTTTCTGATTTTTGTTTTCCCAGTTGGTCTAGATGCAGCAGGAAAGACCACCATCTTGTACAAACTTAAGCTGGGAGAGATTGTGACCACTATTCCAACAATCGGTAAGAGTAATGGAAATGTTTTTTAAGGCTTATATATATGTGTGTGTGTGTGTGTGTGTGCGTGCGTGTGTGTATATAATGTATATGTATGTATGTATGTATGTATGTATGTATGTATGCATGCATCACACAGAAGAAAAGGACATAGTCACTGTCATTACAGTAGAGTATCATCCTTAACATATGAAAACATGGGTGAACAGCCGATGGCTGTTTGCTGTTTACAGTCTGAAGGGTCTTTCCTGGTCAAAGTGCTCCGACCATCTCATGGTGACAGGCTGGAGTATCACTGGGTGCCCCTTTCTGGTGAAGCCGTTATGGGTGGTGCAGATTCCCTCATGAATTATGTTCCCTGTTAAATTTCCCTGGAGAAGCAGCCATACTTTATCGCACTTTTGGAGTGGCTGTTTGCCGCGGACAGAGGGGGACGTTTCACGCATCGGTCACTGAGGGTACATGTGGATGTGTGCTCTTGGTTGTCCTGCCCAATTGATGCTGCCGAGCTTCTGACTGTTCCTCTCTTCCTTGACAGGCTTCAACGTGGAGACAGTAGAGTACAAGAACATCTGCTTCACGGTGTGGGACGTGGGCGGCCAGGACAAAATTCGTCCCCTGTGGAGACACTACTTCCAGAACACGCAGGTGCTGGATCGATCGCCACCTTTTAATTATTCAGTGGATGGTCCTAATTACAGTATTGTGGCGACGCAGATGTGATGCGATTGATTGTGACGACCAAATGAACAAAGTGGATTTAGTGGGGATAGCAGCTCCCCCTATAGGAGGCAGTGGGTATTGCATGATGCAACACCTATGGAGTCAAACTCTAGTGGCCATCTTGACCTTGAAGCTGGTGCCCTTTGCCGACCCTGTGTTAGCATGCCCGCCCTTTTTGCTCTTCTGACTGCGCCTGTACACATCCAGGGCCTCATCTTCGTAGTCGACAGCAATGACAGGGAGCGTGTAGCCGAGTCTGCAGAGGAGCTCGCAAAAATGGTAGGTGTTTGCACACAATTGCACACTTGTTTAAAGAAGATGTCTGTAGAATTCGATCTGCAGTTGAGCGGGAAACATAGCGCCCCCTTGTGGGTTCGTCCTGGGGCACGGCTCCTCAGCGCTGGTTTACGATTTGGTTTTCCGCCTTTCTCTGTAGCTGCAGGAGGATGAGCTCCGGGACGCTGTCTTACTGGTGTTCGCGAACAAGCAGGACCTGCCCAATGCCATGGCGGTGAGCGATCTGACTGAGAAACTAGGTCTGCGGAACCTTCGCAGCAGAACTGTAAGTCGCCCATCTCCTGTACGCTTATAGCGGCTGAAGCATTTAGCATGTCATGTAGACTCCACTCCTTGTTCATGTTCCTTCAGCCAGCTAGCCTGACCATGCGCCTAAGACTATGGTCTGTAGTGTTTGCTCATGGGAGTTTTACTTGCACAAATATGTTCTGAGGGCAGAATGAAAAATGATTGGTGCAGAGAGAGAACCAATTGGATTGCAGAGGAGGTTGGTCCAAGCAACTAGAGGAGGCGGGACCAACGAATCAGATGTCCTGGTCCCACCTCCACTAGATGCTTGGACTCGAAGGTTGAAAGCACAGGTATGCTAAGCTTGTTTCCACATCTTCTCTTTCACCACAGTGGCACGTCCAGGCCACCTGTGCCACCCAGGGTACAGGCCTGTACGAAGGGCTGGACTGGTTATCCAACGAACTGTCGAAACGCTAAGCAGGAGAGCACCGAGCCGAAGACCGGTGTGAACGAAAGAGCCAATTGGGGGAGAGAGAGAGAGAGAGCTGTCGAGGAGAGTTTCAACCGAGAAGTGATGTCTGAATTATGAGTGTCTGTTCAGTAGACGTTGTTTAGAAGTTACGGGTTTTGAAACCAATCCCTTTTGTAAACGCCTCTGTTTATTGTCCCTACAGATGTTTCATAGTCACTCTGCTGTCTACTCCTTTAGCATTAAGAACTGTTTTCAGCTGCATGTTTTTAAGTGGAAAATAAATATGTACCAGCCGCAACCACAGTGAGGAGCCGAGAGGAGAGGCAGGAAGCCGGGGGTGGGTGCAGGCCTATTGTCAGGCCAGGCGGCCTACATACCAGCTGGAGTCCATCAGGCCGTCTCGTTCCAGGTAGCAGGCGACTGACCCCTGCACCAAGGAAACGGTAGTCAGGAGAACCGGGTGCTTTACAAGGATTTTAGGGGCCAACAATGCAATAATACATCCACACCACCACAGTAACATGTGGTCTGTTTTGAGGAAGACGTACTATGGATTTTCCTACTGAGGGACATGTATACACCACTACTTTTTAGTCCTATTTTCTGTCAGTAGATCCCATCAAGTCTTTCTATATTAGATATTTCTATTAGCCTTTTTGGTACAATGGCCTGATGTCATGGTTGCTCTCAGTCGTCTTGAGAGGATGGAGGGGCAGTTCAATTCAATTTATTTTTATATAGCGCCTTTCACAACAAAGTTACTCCAAGGCACCTGTGGGATAAGTCAGCAGAGGCTGACACGTTTATGGTTCTCCCCCAACTGGCTACCCACAGCGCCGCCTACAGGCCCAGCATGTAACGGCACCCATACTTTATGTCGCGCTATCAAACAATCAAATACAACAAATACACACATTGTGAACACTGGGGCAGTGCGCACCTTATAAAAGGACAAATCCAAGAATAATTTTCAAGAGAGCTGTGAGCAGTTGATTTGAGACGTGTTAGGTACACACTGTATATATGGGGGTTCCTTTTTGCAGTGCTGAACTTAACTGCAGTAGATTCCAATTTCTTGCCCACTTCTGAATGGGGTGATGAAGAGCTCCTAACAACAGACTTAATTTCTCCAGCTGCATGTCCTGGGTGTAAATGAGGACCTCGTTTTCCAGTGTGCATGGGGTTGTGGGTCCTGAGTTTGCTTAAATAAAGTTACCTAAATATGACCGTTAGACTTTGTATTTGTGCCTTGCATGTAAAACATATGCATGGGTCCCAGATCAAGGTACAGATGGTGTAAAGCGGACAGTTCGAGGGGAATCATCTGGAATCCCTGTCAGATAGGCAAGTGCCAGACAGCTCAAAAGACTTCATAACAAAGTGCCACGATGTCTGCCAACTTTTTGGTTAGACATGCAACCCAGATGATGATGTAACCAGTGGCCATGTTGAGCCACTTTACTGAAGAGTTGCAGTGGTCCTCTGATAACGGTGGTCTTCCTGATAACGTAGTGCAAGCTGAATCCTTGGGTTCCTTTAAATCAGAGCTAGATAAGATTTTAACAACTCTGAGCTATTAGTTAAGTTCTCCCCAAGCGAGCTCGATGGGCCGAATGGCCTCCTCTCGTTTGTATAGTTATGTTCTTATGTGTATACAGTATATTGCCAAAAGTATTGGGACACCCCTACAAATCATTGAATTGAGGTGCTCTAATCACTTCCATAGCCACAGGTTTATAAAATCAAGCACCTAGACATGCAGACTGTTTTTACAAACATTTGTGAAAAAATGGGTAACTCTCAGGAGCTCAGTGAATTCAAGCGTGGTACCGTGATAGGATGCCACCTGTGCAATAAGTCCATTCGTGACATTTCCTCGCTACTAAATATTACAAGGTCAGCTGTTAGTGGTATTATAAAAAAAGTGGAAGAAATTAGGAACAACAGCAACTCAGCCACGAAATGGGAGGCCACGTAAAATCCCAGAGTGGGGACAACGCATGCTGAGGCGCCAGTGTGCAGAATTCACCAACTGTCTGCAGAGTCAATAGCTACAGAAAAACCAACAGGTAAGAATAAAACCTTTGTACCGGTTTCCGAGTCAGCTGACACCTGAGTTCGTATGAGTTCGTCACAGTGCAACTCATACAAAGTGAAAACGTTTGTTTTCCTTACCTTCCTGCAGACTCATATGCTGAATGGTCATGACTAAGCTTTTTTTTTTTTTTTTTAAAAAAAAAAACAGAGTATCCAACATTTTTTGCACTGAGCTGTAAAATAAACTGCATTGAAATAAAAAACGTTCATAATCATTTTCATCCTTGTTATTTAAATCACTCCTAGACGGGTGAGAAATTTATGGTGACCACCTTTTTTGTTTTATGAATACGCCAGTATTTATTACAACAAAATCACATTGCAATACTTCCTGTACATTATACAAAATACTTTATTTCTTGTCATGCTATCCTAATCTCTGGTTCTTCCAATCAGATGGCAGTCAAAGCTTGGGTCACTTCATTTGTCCACGCAACTTATTATTATTATTATTATTATTATTATTATTATATTAACCTCGCTTATTTTCTGAGGTCGCAACTGTTTTCAAGATGGCAGTTGTATTGCATTTGAGGCAGGTGTTCTGACGAGTTGAGCTACCTATCGAAACGTACTATCGAGCCTTTTTGCGCATGTGCAGTTCCACCGTCTGGGGTTAGGTTTTAGGGGTAGGGGTTAGGGTTAAGGTAAGGGTTTTAGGGGGGGTTTGGGCTATCGATTAGCACCACGGTAGCATGACTCGACAAAGTAGCTCAACTCGACAGAACATCGGTCCTGGATCAATCATATGTTTGGGACAGTCATGTTTTGTTGTGTTTACTTTTGCAGTTTAATTAGTGCAATAAACGTTTAAATTTGAGGAAAAATCATTACACAGAGTCGTGATCTCAATTCTAAGCAAAAAAAAAAAAAATCCTGAGTCACATAGAATCGTGCAGCCCAAAAATAAATGTCTGTGAGTTTAACGTAACACTTCTCTCAGCTCAATTTCCTGTTACTACGAAGTCTCATCTCTGTCAGCTTGCTTCATTCTTCTAACACTTTTTTGACGTGCTTCCACTAGCCCCTCCCCATCCAGAACCCGGGACTCACTACTCACTCAGTCTTGGGCGGCGGGCGACTCCTAGTGGGCAGAGCCAGTATTGCACAATGGCTCTGAAATCTTGAAAGCAGTTTAGAGAAACACAAACATGATGCAAGTTTTACTACTTCTCAGACCAATTCTCCATACTTTTCCTACCTTTCCCACCCCCCTCACAATCTTCTGGCCTGTGTTGCTTGGTTTGACAGGGTTTGAGGTCCGGCTGTTAAAACAAAGCCCCAAAAACACACAGCATACATTTTCTTGAAAAACTGAAAATGACCTTCTACTCAATTATACAGTGTCCATGTTATCTTGCCAGGTACACTGTAGTAAACAAATAGCATGTCTCAAGCATATTCACATGTGGATGATTGAAAGAAAAATAAGCCAAAAAGAAATTGTGGTACCTGTGCCCATAAAATCCAGTCCCTCAATCTTGTTCTCTCCTACCATTACAAAAGGTTAAGAAAATGTGTAGTAACCTTTTGGCTCAAATTTTCTTTCTCTAGATTTCATTTAACGGGCAACGAGGTGGTGAAATACTACTACTTCTTCTTAAATGTGCACAGCATAAAAAAAATGTTTGTCACAAAATTGAATGGTGCATTTTTATTGATGAAGAACGATTAGTATTAAACATTGGATGGCAATAAATTAAGCATTGGATTTGCGGGAAAAAAAGAACAAAATGGCCAGTTTATTAAAGATCAGCAACAAGTAATTTTAATCACAACATAATAAACCAAGTTTAAATTTACAAGACAAATAATCCAGCCCATAACTTACAGGGCCAGAAATGAGGAAGGCAAATTGTCCTCTAGAGTCGGCGTCACTCATTCCTTTTCCATATGTAGGTTAGTAAAGTTTTCATAGTCCAACAAATATATTCCATTGAAGCATTTCATCTCCCATGAGACACCATCACTGCAAGCAAACTGCAAGTGAGCAGGGCCACTGCACACTGGCAGTGCAGATGCAGACTGCATAAAAAACAGGAAGCAAAGACCAGGCTGAGGGTGAAGTTGAGCTCCTTGCTCTCTATAGGATCACTGACAGAAGTTCTTCTGCATGGGACTCTCTGATACTGACAGGATCCTTGAGTTCCTTCAGCGACAGCTGCTCTTGTTATGCGATGACAGGCTCTGGATGATTGTTCTGCCGCTTGACAACGAATACCTTCTGTCCAGACACTGTGACTGCATACACGTGGTCCTCGAACATCACTGGAGGGGAACATGAGAATACTCAGTCACCCCCAACCCAAATGTTAGGCCCCCCACCTGGCACTTCTGTAGGGCATCATTGGGCCAGTTTGGATTTTAAGGATCCTTGGCAGCCAGGTGTACAAATAGACCTGCAGAAACTCATAGAGGAGATCAGCCGGACCTGACATGCGCTTGAAAGGCGGATCCGTTGCGCCCTGCAGGCGAAATTTGTAAGCTGTCTGCACCATCTGCATGATGATGGCGGCCGTGTGCTCGTCGTTCTCCAGCTCGCCCGCGGACTGCATGGGACAAAGGGGTCGTGGGCCACAATGTAAATACCTGATACGGTCCAGTTTAGCCTGGATAACAAACCTTACGGTCAATCGCCGCTAAAGTACTCACCGCCAGGACCCCGTCCTCACTTATGACCAAATACCCGATCTGGTCTGGAATTCTTTCCAGGCCCTGGGTCAGAGCGGTGGTCTACAGTACGAAAAGATATGACAGAATCCATATTACAAACTATACACACAAATTGCGTGTAACTATCCCCCAAATCCTATTTTGGCCCAGTCGGTCTGACAGTACAGGTCAGCTATGGAAAAAGAAGCTTAAGGGCTACATATTGCAGAAAAGAAACGCAGAAAAGTAGCAGAGTCACTAATGCTAGAGTATTGTTTGCGGGTTTATTTCTATACTCGTCATATTTAAAAGCCAAGTCTTCACTTACCATGTTGAATTAGTTTGAAAACCAGCAATACACGATCGTTCTGTTCCTCACGGAAATTTTACTCTTAATGTCACATGACGCCGGATACGTCATCGAACAGCTGCTCTCTGATTGGACAACTCTACTGTCAATCAATGGAGAAGCAGAAGTGTAAATTGTTGCTTGCGTTGTCACATTCATACTCGAAAGCTTCTTATTTTTATTTTCATTTAACAGATCAAAATCGTTGTAAAAACGAGACTGGTAATACATCAGAAATATATAATTGGGATTAACAGTGAAAGTGAGCGTATTTTCTGCGCTCTGGTCTTTTTCAGTCAGTGATGAGATATTAGTCAGTCTGCAATCTCTGACACAATTAGTTAACTTTATACATTACCTGTGATATTCTAAATTAAAGCATGTTCGTTTAATGGCTTATTTAGTCTGCATATAACTACAAATTCTATAACATCCACTACCTCGCAATACACTAATAACTTATTTCCCCCAATTAGCACAGAAAATTAATTCTTATGGAATTAAGTAAAAACTTAGCCTATATAGGATGCGGAGAAGTAGCACATTTGCATTTGGAAATAAGCTCCAATTAATCCTATTAATTTGGTGTAAAAATTCTGGTGGAACTATTTAATATCAATGCAGACCTGGAAACGGAGCGGAATGTTTAGGCATGTTGTGTGGATGGTTACTTTTTACAGGGTCTGTCCGATCACATTTCAATAAATCATTTATTTTCAAATAAAAGATTAGGATATACCTTTATGACTAGCATTGACAAAAAATATATCCGCGAAAAGACGTACTGAAAAACGGAATAAAGCTGTCGTAGCACGTGCACAGAAAAATCATTTATGGGGCGCCGTCATGGTAACGATGCCCCAGTGAACACAAATTACATCCCCAGGATACAAGTTACAAACTGTGCGACCAAACTGCTGCTCCACGTGTTGGGTCTCCGGGGACTGAAGTTCCTTACTAAGGTACCGGAATAATACATTTGTTTGCCAAAGGACGTCGCTGACTTATTAAAATATTGAAATAATTTTGTATGAAATTCTTTACCGTACTTCACTAAAGCTTGCAGAACAGGTTGTGCCTCACATGTTATGTTGACACTCTACTCCTTGCCTCTTCAAATGGGTGAAGTATATGGTATTTAGTTAGTATAGGTATTTAGTTCCGCAGATTAAAAATGATAAACCCCTTTACTTGGCTATTATATAATTGTATGTCTATATATATTCTATATATAGGACAATTGAATTTGGATAATAATGCTAAACAAAATCGTTATTATATTAAAGCTATTGAATCAGACATAGTGATTTAATGCGTTATATTGCTTTATATTATTCTTCGAGAATATTCCTCACTGGCATATTCACATGCATTAACCGAGAGTCATACGTACACCATTACCAAGGTAACCACAAACAAAAAGCTTAATATTCATCAAACCGTATCTGAATCACAGTTCTTGTTTTTCTTTATTATGAAAGAGTTCTTATAATTCCATAACAAGCCATTCGCATTTTAAATATCTGGTTAGGAAATTTACGTGCTATATGCTCGGGATGGTTTTGTGTCCCTAACCACCATGCAAGTATGTTTTAGGTTTCAGTATGAACATTCAATATAATCATCGAGATTTAAAAGTTATATTCAGAAAGGGGATATCGATTATGTTCAATATAAGTAGGTTATTAAATGAACCGTGTACATTTCGCATACGCTTTTTTTCATACTTAAGTATTTTTGATTTATCGCAGCAATTAGGCCCTGTTATGTTACCTTAACATTTGGCGCGTCTGTTCGTTACAGCCTGTCGCTCGCCGTCGGTATTTCCTCATGGAATGAAATACTTTTTAATCTCAACACCAAACGTCGGGAAAACGGAAGGTTGTAATACGTTGGCCCAATGAATGAATGCAATTTTATAGCTTGATACTTAGACAACTACGAAAACACACAACGCATTTAAATTTGGATCCGGCCGACGACTTTCAGAGTACTGTATATATTTCAGAGTTTAACACGCGTGTCTCCCGGTGACAACACAAAATGAAATTCTTCGGCTTTCGTTGTATATTGGTTTACGCAGTTGTCTTGGGATATCGAGGTTATGAAGAAAATAACAGATCCGTTTATTTTGTGGGTGAAACTCCTCTTTAAATATTTAAGGTTGACCTTCGTGGCCGTTGAAAATTGTCGTCTTTTTATCTGGAAGCGCAGGATGTCAGGAGCAGATGCGTGGGTGGGGACTTGGAGACCCCACAAGCCCAAAGGACCCATAGCAGCTTTTTACAGCAGTCCCGGACCTAAGTACGCGCTTCCTGGAGCCACAGGTACCCTGTAGTGGGGGGAAGGGAACAGAGTGATGCACGGTGACACTGCTGCCACTTTACTGATGACGGTTCTCCTTCCCCCCTATCCTGTTCTGTATAAATAGGGGTTAATTATCACGATCCCCGGAAATCAAAAGCACCAGCTTTCAGCTTTGGCTGTCGTCATCGTCAGTTTTCGTCAAGCTGCTCCCCCGGGCCCGGTTACCTCATTCCATCTCATGTCACCCGGACCGGGCGGAGCGGCACCCCGGCCTACTCCCTCTACGGCCGTAGTAGAGACTCCCTCCTCTTCCAGACGCCTGGACCAGGTTACATTTGAGCATGCTAATCTCTATGTCGGTGCTTCTCAGCCCAAGCCGGCAGGGAGCCCCAGGCAGTTCACATTTTTGCTTCCTCCCAGTTCCCAAAGCACCTGTATTTGATTGGTGTTTCTTCATTCCTTGATTGATTGGATCAGGTATACTGGGAAATGTGGAAGGTCTGGGGGTCCGGACTGGCCTGAGAAGTATTGCCGTAGGGTCTGTGGTTTCAGGCTGTACTCTGGCTTAATCTTGACGCTGAGACTGAGTAGATGTTTCCACTGGTGATATTCAGGCCAGTACGCTCCAGAAAATGCTGGGAAGTCTGCGTATCGCTCAGCCCCAGCTTACTCACTCTCTGCACGGAGCAAAGGCTTCCGGAATGACCAGACGCCGGGTAATTAGCACATGTAATCGCACGGATAACTGTGGAACAGCAGATGTGGTGATGACCGCCGTAGACTGACTGTGTACGTGTGCTTATATCCAGGACCTGCAGCCTACATGCTACCATCTGTATTGGGACCCAACACAGCAAACAAAATCTCTGCTCCAAACTTCAGCCTTGTGGGTAGAAGCAAATACGGCAGCTTCCATGAGGATCTTCAAAAGGTGGATGAAAGGCTTCAGTAGAACTACAAACGTATCAAAATATCCCTGATAGTCCAACCCATACTATTGAAGACAAGAAACAGCCCACCCAGAAAGTACATGGTATCTTTAAGGCTGATAACTATTAACTACTATATATAGTAGTTTTTTTTTGTTCTTGAAGTTCATAAGTTCCTTTACATTTTGAAGCACATATATAAAGCATTTGTAGGGTGCAGTGATCCTTCTGTTGGTTTTGAGCAAACTGTAACATGGCCAGTTTTACCATATAGACTCCAGGACCTGGGACATACAGTGTGGTTCAACCCAGTGTCTACAAATACAAGCCTCCCCAGTACAGCATGACCGGACGGAACAGTTTGCCTGGGGACATGACGCGGAAACCAGGGCCTGCGGCTCATCGACCCGAGCAGGTAGATCATTCCCCCAAATTGAAACACCTTCCCTCACAAAATGAATTATGCTGCAGAGCAAAACCTTAAAAAAGCAACGCCTCAATCATCAAATCAGCCTCAAACGTTAATATTTAAATACTTCCATTTGATGCATAAATGCATAAAATGATTCCTATGTGCTTTACAAGACAGGCCTGTTCCTACCAACCAAACAATGTTTGTGTAACAGATACTTATTTATAGGTTATTGTATTGCAGTTGTCATACTGTATATGTGGAAGTTGCTCAAATGCATTAATCAGGTAATGATGAAATTCTGAATCTTAAATTGGACTGAAGCAGCCATTATGTTATATAACATAACTTATAAATGTTGTAAGACTTAATCTTCACATCCATCTTCTAGACCTGCCACCCAGTACAATCTCATGGTGAATATTAACATTCATTTTGCCACTCAGCTGCACCTGTGATTCACTGCTATATGTAAAACATCTTTGTTATTTTCTCCAGGTCACAATGACAAGGAACAAAGCCCCTAGCTTCTCGTTTGGAACACGGCACTCAGATTTTGTTGCACCGCTCATAGTTGATGTGGGAAATTAAAGCCCCCCCCCCCACCTTGCTTTTTGTTTTTTTTAATTAAAATCCCACAATTTTATTTCTGTGTAAACGAGGAGACTTCAATGTGTGGCATGAGGAACAATCACATTTCAAATTAAATTGAAATATAATATTAAATTCAATCTATAAAAATTCAATATATCTGATATGTCAACTGGCTACATTCGTACTTAGTATTGCTGGGGAATAAGTCCAAAATCATTGCATATTTTTTAAAAATCAAAAAGTTCCTGCAAAAACATGTTTTTGGCACCTATTACTGATTTTAACTGTTTAATAAAATTTAGAAAATGATTTCTGAATCACAATGTCATTCAATTTCTACAGAGCCCCTAAATGGACAGGGCTGGAAAATATGATAAATATGATTAAATTGGCAAAAATGGTCTGGTGGCGCTCCTGGTCCTTCTGGGCAGGGCACACGCGGGGCACACGCGGGGCACACGCGGGGCACACGCGGGGCACACGGGACTGAGCCTATAAGCAGAGCTACCATTTCACATTGACTTTCATGTTGTTTTTGCTGACCTGGTTTTACATATTATTATTTGATTAATTGGGAGCTGTGACTTTGACATTTTTGCCTATGCATTGCACAAAGGTGCAGGAAGGGGGGGGGGGGGTTAGGGTATGAACCCCCCAGTATTTAATTTGGATTCATTCAAGCCCCCCAACAAATAGGCCTTTATAGCTAAAATTATTAAGTTGTCTATCCCCAATACCAAACCCTCTCCTTGGCTGTAGTACAGATATTTCAACATTAATTATGGATCATTTCACTGCAATGTAACACTTTCCTATGGCTTGTGCCCCCAGCGTGAAGTATGAACCCCCATCAAGACAATTATCACAATTATAACATCTAAATATGGTGAATAATTGGGACACTTGCTGATCATTTACATTTCGCTACGATTTGAAGTCTAGTAGGTTGCTCAGTCAATACCTCTCTGCTCTGAGCGGGTTCCTGCTGTCTCTGGGCCTGGTGGTCTGGTGGTGGAACATCCAAGATTCAAGAGGTTTATTCGTCACGTACACAGTCGTACACATACATCATGTAGTGAAATGTGACCCTGGTCACTCCGAGCAGCTGTGCATGATAAGAGAACAATAAAATATATAAAAACAATATAAAATAAAAAGTATATGAAATATGTTCAGCTGTACATAATCAATACGTAAGTAATAAGGTAAAAGTGATTTTGCTGTGCAATATAAGTGCAATGTACAAGAGATCTGAGAAATGTACCAACAATTTGGACAGTATGACCTGAATGTAAACAGTACTCATAGGATTATGGGCACTCATATGCAGTGTGCACAGAGTGATGTCAGTGTTACAGTGACTGAAGAGTCACTGTAGAGTCCAGTGGAAGACCTAGGGTCAGGAGCCTTATGACCTGGGGGAAAAAGCTCCTCAGGTGTTTCATTCTACAACACAATGCATGTCACCACCGTGGTAGTCGTGCACAGGACGCACATTGGACAGAGTGTTGTACACTATATGAACAATAGCATTGGGATACAACTCCTAATCATTGAATTCAGGTGTTTCATTCAGACTCATTGCCACAGGTGTATAAGATCAAGCATCTACCATTTTTGAAAGAATGGGTCATTCTGAAGAGCTCCGTGAATACAAGTATGGTACTGTCGCAAGACGACACCTTTACGATAAGTTAAATATTTCTTCCGTTAGATATTCCATGGCCAACTGTAAGTGGTATTACTGCAAAATGGAAGCACTGAGGAACAACAAACTCAGCCACAAAATGGCAGACCATGAAAAGTCACAGAGTGGGGTCACCCAGTGCTGAGGTGCATACAGTGTAACAGTCACAAACTTTCTGGTGATTCAATGACTGCAGAGTTCCAAACTTCCTCTGGCATTAACCCCAGCACAAAGCTGGGCTTAATGCCAGCTGGGAGCTTCATGGAATGGGCTTCCATGGCCAAGCAGCTGCATGCAAGCCTCACATCACCAAACGCAATGCTAGGCATCACATGGAGTGATATAAAGCACACCGCCACTGGACTGTGGAGCAGTGGAAACGTGTTCTGTAGAGTGATGAATCATGCTTCTCCGTCTGGCAGACTGATGGACGAGTCTGGGTTTGGCGGATTCCAGGAGACCATTACCTGCCTGACTGCATTGTGCCAGCTGTTAAGTTTGGTGGAGGAGGGATAATGATATGGGGCTGTTTTTCATAGGCTGGGCCCCTTAGTTCCAGTGAAGAGAACTCTTAATGCTTCAGCATACCAAGACATTTTGGACAGTTCTATGCTTCCAGCTTTGTAGGAACAGTTTGGGGAAGGCCCCTTTCTGTTCCAGCATGACTGTGCCCCAGTGCACAAAGCAAGGTCCATAAAGACATGGTTGGGTGAGCTTGATGTGAAGAACTTGACTGGCTCACACCAAGCCCTGACCTCAATTCCATCAAACACCTTTGAGATGAACTTCAATGGATGCTACGAGCCAGACCTTCACATTCAACATGAACGGGCAAAAATTCTTGGGGGGGCGATAAACTCAGTATTGATGCCCATGGCTTTAGAATGAGATGTCATAAAAGTTCCTGCAGTTGTAATGGTCAGGTGAGCCCATACTTTTATCCATATATAGTGCATCTAGTTCATAAAAATCAAATGTTCGGTGAATCACAAGAGGCAGTCATTCTTCACTACATAAAATTAGATGTCACAAAAGTCACATATGGGTTAAATGCAGAGGACACATTTCATTGTTGCGCGCTGTGGTGTGTTGACAATGACCACTGATCACCAAATTCTAATTCTAGATGTCAATCACATGTTACTCAAGGCATTTATTTCACTTAGAAGATATATCCTCTGTGAAAAAGTACAGACATGGCAATACTGACAGTGGCAGCCACATTGTGTCCTGTGAATCTTGCTTCTTATCAAACCAACCAAGCCATCCATCACAAACCGCTTATCCTGGTTAGCGTCGTAGGGGGCCTGGAGTCTACTGCAGACAGCATAGGCTTAAGGCATCCATACTTTAAATTGCTATGGGCAATTTAAAGTTTATGACATCCTCGGGAAATCACCCACACTTCATTTCCGTTTGTTTTTAACAGCATTTTGCTATCCACTAGCATACAAAACGTTCGGAAAAAGCCGTAAGAGAACATGTTGATCAAATGCTCAATAGAGAATCAAAGGAAATTACGTATTGCTTACGATTGCCGCATTACACTACTCTGAATACGTCAAATAAATACCGTAAACAATTTGCGGGAAACCCCTTCCCTACCACCAACTCGATTAAACGTAAATGAAATTATATCGAAAACAAAAATTTAAACCCAATAAATTCCGGCAGGACACCGAACAGCCCTGATGCGGAAAAGGGGTCCTAGTGGCGTCCCCGCGTTGCGTAGGAACCGATTCAACTCACCGAAGCGATCACTGGAAAAGCTGGGGGGAATAGCGGCTAGTATATCACCAATTCAACATTCACTTTATATCCTGGCATTTTTATTAACCGAACTTCGAGTTTAAAGGCAAGAAACGCGCGTACAAGTTAGGGCAACCTTAAGCTGCCCATCATGTCGTACGAGCTGGAGTTAAACCGGCTAGCTAATCGTTATTGCTAGCTAAAATCGTAAGTACAGGGTACGGTGAAACATCGGACTTTCGTTGCCATCAAATCTTGACGTTTCAATCCATGTGCATATATATGGGGTATATCTGATATACAAATCCGCGAGGTAGTTGTACGTTTAAAAGTTTAGTCAAAACATCCCTAATCGCATCATTGAGTGACGACGCAGCAGCGGGAGTCTCTCCATCCCGAGGGAGAGGGATGGCTGGCGATGATGGGGGGAGCCTCTTTGACTTTGACCAGGCGACATACGACGCAGACGAAAAAGTCAAGATCATCTGCTTGGGAGACAGCGCTGTCGGAAAATCCAAGTGAGCACATTCGGGGAGCCCCTGCTTACGCTACTGCGTTGCTTCTCCCCGGCGACCGGCAGTCAGCGCAGGTGCTAAACTGCGAGCTGATTTAAACTGGTTCCCAGCATCCTGGAGCCAATCCCAGGAAGCAGCAGTCTAATGGAAACCAGTTTTAATCAATTCGCATTTGTCGATAACCAATAGGAAGATTGATGGATGGATGGATGGTTGGTTGGTTGTTTGATTCGCTGGTTAAATTTACTGAAACTGTTTGAAAGTAAACCGCATATATTTGTTTTATGTGCACGAACTAATCCAATGCATTTGCATTTGCTTTTAGGTTAATGGAGAGATTCCTCATGGACGGATAGCATCCTTTACGAAGTTTTACTTTCCTGCTGTTTGATGTCTTCAGCCACTAGTTATTAACAGTGATATTAACTGGTGAATGTGCACTGTCCCCCTGGGTATTTTAATGTTATTGAGTACTAAAATTTCTTAAACGTTGTAGCTGTGATGGGGGCAGTGTGTGACAGAGCAGGTTAGGTGTCTGTGATCAGAAGGTTGCTAGTTCAAATCCCAGGGTTGGCAGAGTGATGTCACTATTGTGCCCCTGAGTGGGGCCCTTAAGCCCCAGCTGCTTCAGGGACTGGCTGACTCTGCTTTCTCGGAACCTGTATGTCACTTTGGGTAAAAGCTGCTAAATAACCTGCTGTGATTTTCGAACCCTTAACATGGTCTGTAGTCGACCCCAGCAGCTGTCCACATATGCTCTGACACTCTACAAGTACTCCACCACAATCGATGGGAAGACAGTACTAGTAGGTAGGTCATCTTTTCCCGCTGAACAAAATGCAGTTGTCTGGAATGGCTGCAGTGTAAAGGCGCTCGTCTGCCCACAGATTTTTGGGACACGGCGGGACAGGAGCGCTTTCAGAGCATGCACCCATCCTATTACCACAAGGCCCATGCATGTATCATGGTGAGTGAGGTCCTAAGGTCCTCTAAATCCCAGCTCTAGCAGAGGTTCTGTATTATTTTTGTATTTTCATCATCATTCATATTTTTAGAGTACGGGGTACTCAGAAACCCCGGTGATGAGGGGAAAGTACTCTGAAAGTATTTGTTTAGGTTTGTTACTGTGTTGACTTTTTTTTTTAACCCTCTGCAGGTGTTTGACGTTCAGAGGAAGATCACATATAAAAACCTTACGAACTGGTATAGAGAGCTTAGGGAATACCGGCCAGAGATTCCCTGTATAGTGGTCGCAAACAAAATCGACGGTACGTTGAGTTGCTTAACTGAACGTCACTTTTAAGGTACTGGTAATTTTAAGAAGCCACTTTGGGGAATTTTTTGGATGTTTGAATATCCTTCTTACAAATGTCCACTGGAACAAAACGTTATGTATTTGGATCTAGGTATGTCTAAGTATATGGCCTCATGATTGCTGCCTCTCTAAAATTCAGTAGAGACTCTGTATGCATGTCACACAACATGGAGAACTGGCAGGGTGACATGAAAACACGAATCAGCAGGCATGTTTTGCTGATAACCTCAGTAATCAGTGCTGGATGAATCCAGTGCCTCTGAGTTTTCCCACCACAATAACTGCAAACAGCAGTAACTGAAGTTGTATTACCTCGGGGGAAATCAGCAGGAGAATGGAAAAATAAATCAGTTTTCTGCTCTGTTTTGTTCTAGCTGATATGAAGGTAACTCAGAGAAACTTCAATTTTGCGAAGAAGCAGGGTCTACCTCTATATTATGTTTCCGCTGCTGATGGAACCAACGTTGTGAAGGTAAAACGGAAACACGAAACGCCAAGCCGGTTTGATTTGTGTTTTATGTCCGGCCGAATCGTTTCCCTCTTGTGCCGTTTATTGTAAAGACCAGTGGAATACGTCACATTCAGACATAGCGAGTTCGCCTTAACGGTAAGACCTTCTCCTAAACCACATTGAGGTGACTTAGAGCTTATTTTCCCAACAGCTGTTCAAGGATGCCATCAAACTGGCCATGTCCTACAAACAGAACTCCAGTGATTTCATGGACGAGGTTCTGCAGGAATTAGAGGTGCTGATGTTAATGATAATCAACAGAACTTAACCATCTTATGAACTTAAGTCTAAACGAACTTTAAAAGTGTTTAACGCATTCGTAAAATAGTCTACATTCATTAATTACACCCTCATTTTAATTTTGCATGAAAAATGATTAACTCTTAAATATTGAGACTTTCACATGATTTACCTAGATGGCAGGTCCGGTTAATTTTGTAATGGTTTGGGAAATGTTGATCTGTCTTTGTTGTGCAGTTTACACCTTTTTCATTGGAATATGCTTTGTAATGCATCGACTTGTTGTTTACTAAGCAGAATTTTGAACTAGAGAAAAAGGAAGGTACCTCAGATAAGGAGGATGATCTTCTCCAGGAGATGGACCAACAGCTTGCTTGAGGTTCCCTCATCTGGATGCTCCTGGGCGGCCTCTTGGAGAAACACGGGAGCTGTTTATCGCACATCTGTCCATCCGTACTTCCATCCGTTCATCTCCACAGTGCTGTGGTAGCCATTATGTTGTACGCTAATATGCCCTAGCTGGTTGCTAATTCGTCCACAGGAGCTGTCTGTCCTCCGGAGACTTTCTGGACATGCACACTGAGTATTTATTAGGTCAGACACACAAGGTGAGGGGCTCAAAAGGAATATGGGTCACAACACAGGTCACAACATATGTGCAAGGCCAAATAAGGATGTGCCACTTTCTGGCCTGTTTCTCTTTATCTGTAACAGACAAATAATGCATCACGAAGCCAGCCCAAACACTGAAGAATAATCTATTATAGGTAGTGTAGGTTCTGTGTTTTCAGAAGCCGTGCGGAGACCTTGGGTACTGGGTAGAGGAATGTGCTGTAATGAAGTCTCCAATAGAGTTGGACTAGATGCACCGCACTTCAATGTTTTCAAGAGATTTCTATTTAAGATCACAGGCGTGTTTGTATCTGATGTGTATCAGGCTGCACATCATGCTGCGTGACTTCTGTGATATTGTCAGTCATCATACCCAAAGATTCGTATGACTAGCGAATGTAACAGGGAGTAAAAAGGTCACATTAGGGGGCGTCTTGAGCTTCAGAAAGAGTCTGTCTGTTACCATTTTGTCTACTGTGAAACAGAACTATTTTGGTTCGAACTTGGTTATCCTGTCATTTGTTTTTGAAATTTGCACAAACGTGTATAGTTGTGTAAGTACCTGAATGTTATTACAGGTCAGGATCTTGTTATCTTTCTACACTTGTGATAAAACAATAAAATGTGTCAACTGTTTAATCGTGTATAAGTCCAGGGTAATTAATGATCCTTTTAAATAGCCAAGATTTAACAGAGGACATGAGAGCTTGTCACCCGTCTTTAAAGACGCAGGTGACATAAGCCTCCTATGCGCACGGCCGGGATGTGGCGAGGCGGCTGTAAGGACAAACAATCCATCAGCAGGCTTATGGAGAAATTCTCAGTATGAACGTCGTGAGGCTTTTTTGTGAAGAAAACAAACAATCTGACGCCAAACAGACACACTGTCTAAACAACACCCTAAGCATATTACCACAGAATGCAGACTACTATGTTCTCATTTGTAATTGATATTTTTATACCAAAGTGAAATGGATTATAGTCAATAGTCTATTCAGCACAAGTCCCTAACAGAGATTAATTACTCTAGTCTTTGATGTCAAACAAATGAAAACTGCATTGTTTCTGTTTTTCTATTTACCCATCTGTACTCATTAACATGTTACTCGTTCGATGAGGTTCATTTATTGTAGACTATCAGGCTACTTATATTCAAAACAAGCTACAACAACAATATCTTATTGTGTTTAGGGGGTGGTGTGTAGCTCAGTGAGCTAAGCCTCTGTGTCTGTGATCAGTGGGTCCTTGAGCACGACCTTTAACCCCCAGCTGCCCTTCACTGCCAGCTTCCTCTTGTCTACAGAGAGTTTATGGGTCAGCTATAATGGTTTGGAAAATGTAATATTTTCTTTTCAATTTATTTTCTTGTAGGATGTCAGGAGGCGAACTGTGAAAAAAAATCTAGAAACACTTATTTGGTTCTGAATATTTCTTAGTCTCAATAGCACTGGGATCTGTTGTTCAGACAGTTATAAAATGATTTTCTATGAACACTCACAGAAATACTTTGAAAATATGATTCTTGATATAAATAAAAAATCCAATGGCCTAGTGAGAATTATAGTTTTTCAATAATTATATAATAACATAGCTGATGAACAGTGAAACTTGCTAAATCTCTGGCTTCTTTCCTCAATATAATGGGCCCTAATTTAATAGACTAACAAGCCAGGTTCACTAATATTCAGCCAGTCAGGGTGCAGACATCCATTCACAGTCCAAAAATACCAAGGAATTGATTTCTGAGATACATTTTGGCGTAAAACCGTTTTAATATTTATTGATGACTTTGATTAAAATAAGATAATCTAATGATAAATGGGATCATACTGTAACAGGATTTCAGTAACCCTACAATAAAAAACAATAATACTGTGTTCTACGCTGAAACGTGGAAGCAGGCATCAGTTTTACACCGTTATGTATATTTGTTTTCCTAACATTAATAACTTCCTACCTCACTGTGCTGAAATCTTTGTGTGTAACTGAACCTTTATCGTTGTTTTTAAGCAGTACTTTCAATGGCCAGCTTTCAAACTGACATGTTATTGACTAAAGAATTAGAATTCAATGTTGCATGTGATACATACTATATTATAGGAATGTCAGTGTTAGAATCCTTGTCACAGTTTATCAAGATACAAACTAAGGCGTTGTGCTGAAATTATCACTGAACTAGAGGTGAAAAAAATATCCAGCATGTTTGTCTAAAATAACAGTCTGCAGAGAGACCACTGTCCATGTCCCAAATGTCACCACACAAAATGTCACCAGTTCTGAATGTGTGCATTTCATTTGTTTATATCATGTCTTCATTTCACTTGCAGGTGAAAGGTCAATAAAAACAAAGACAACAGGTCTGTGTTGGGCTGCAGTTGTCTTTTAAGGACCATCTGAATACAAAGGATATATTTGTTTTAAATTTGTTTCCATCACAGGTCAGACATTTTATTTCAAGTAGCTGAATTCAGAATGACAAGAGTACTGATAACACTTTTTCTTTAATCAATCATAACTTTATTACAATCGTGCCTCTTGTGTTTCTACACACCTTCCTTAAAAGCCTCATATGTCACAACGTCACGTATCACACTTTTCATAAGCACATCTTTGCTTGCTCCATCTTCGCTTCTGACACTATGACCCAGGGGAAATTCAATCAGGTTTAACGACCTTCACTCCTCAGCCAATCAGGAGGAGCAAACCGCCCTCACGCTGGAGGTACCGTCTGGTGGGCTGTACGGACAAAGTGCAAGGAAGTCTACAGAGGCGCTGGGTTCTGGTCTGACCGGCCGGTGAGAAACACCAGGTCAACCAGCCCACGACCTCGGCTCACAGTGCAAGAGAAGAAACCTCCGAACGTCACACAGCCGTCTGGGTAATGACCCAATACCCACCCTGGTATACTGTCAAGTGGGATCCTCAAGTTTGGCATCTTTGCTGTTCATTTTGTGCTTTGTAGTTTTACAATGAGACTGACGAAGTGAATCAAGCTTAAAGAAGATGTATATGAAAGATGTATTTTTTAGTTTTTTTTTGCCAGTTGTTTGCATGTGCATGAAAGCCATTAAATGACGCGGAAGGAGCATGTATCCGACACCTTAAAAGCAGACAGTAGCTACATTTCGCTCCTCTGGGCCCACGCTGGGCTCTCATGGGGGGGGGGGGGGGGGGGTGTGTGCGGCTGGGGAGAGCAGCAGGATGATCCATTTTCTTCTATGACTGTCAAATCCGCAAAACCTCAGTTGTACTTCAAACAAAAGATGCCTCAACACTTCATAATATCTGATAATATCGATACAATTGTTTGTGAAAAACCCCACACAAGAATGTAATTTTATATGCGTATGTGTGTATATGTATATATACACTCCTTTACAGAAAACCCACCAATAAAATAAACTAAAACGAATTCTGTACATACAGTAAATTATATTAGCAGGTGTCAGTAGTACTCGACAATTTCAGGAGGGGGCACTGCAGTGCTAATCCTGATCGTTTAGAAGCTATTTCAACAGAAATATTTTTAAATGCAGAGAAATTGAAAGTCCAACACTTTTGGCACATTTTTTTCCCTTTTTTTCTTTACAACAATTATCACACCATGTCTATCCTCCAAAACACTTAATGTCTATGAAGGGAAACTATTCAGCGTTTCCTGCAAGGGGGGGAAAAGGTGCACAGCAGAAGATTCACGAAAGTTCAGCGTTTCTGTTGCACAAGCTCCGGTCCAGCAGAGCACTGAGAAGTACGTTGTGTGATTTCATTGACGTTTTAATGTCGGCTTAACTGTCAGCCGGGTGTGACGTTTCTGAAGCTCACTGGACTCATGTGATCAGTGTAGTCTTCTTCTCCCTAAATCGTACCTAGAAATACGGGATAACAACACGGCAGCTCATACTGGACAGATCTGGCTGAAGCTGATCTTTATTTCATTAATTATCTACAAATTACATGAGCACGGTCCACTTCACTTACACTCGCCTGTTTATCACCGCGACATCTGCGTGTCTTGCCTTCTGAAACTCTCATTATTCAGGAACAAAATATCCAGCGTTGCTAAAATCAGACTGATGTCACAACGCATTTTTAAATGCACTTCCATCCTTGTTTTCTGAGTTTCGTTTACGCAGCAGTATGCCCCATTTGCCAAACCGATAACAGGGCTTGGCGGTGCTCTACCTCACACTCCACCACAAGGGGTCAGCATCACTACCTTCACAGAGGTCCTGCGTTACAAGGAAACAAGTCCGTTGGCAGTGAGCTTCGGTCAACAGGTGTCAGCCACCGAAAAAAGACACTCGACTCGTAAATGGAGGGAAACGCAGAGAGAGAGAGAGAGAGAGAGGGCGAGACATTAACCTGGCCACCAGAGGGCGCACAAAACACCGATACCGGTGCTTCTTACTGCCTGAGTGGGACCACAGTCTGTATGCTAAGACGTGTACAGTAAGGTATTGTTCTCACCCAGGGAGACACGGCACAGCAGAAGCTAATAGGAATGACCAGCTTTCTTTAGACCGGGCTGAGTCAGCTGTGTGGACAGGAGAGCGCTAAGCTTCTTAGACAATGGATGGGTTTGTTAGCACCTTGTTTTGTGCAAATCATCCTCAATTTTATAGTTCATATAAATAATAAAAGTTTCTCACCATATTTCACCGGTGGTTAGCTATGCATATATGCCAAACATTCATATATATATATATATATCTATATATATATATAATTAATTTTTAAAAATGTATATGAAAACTATTATATTTACATTACTTGGGATTAATATAAAAAGCAAATAACTGTAATTTCTTTATATTTACATGTTTACGGAGCTGTAGGAGGAGTTTATAACCAAGTCTTAATTTCACTCAGAAACTGGACTTAACAAATGGATACAAAATCTTTTTAACCTCTAAGCATCATTTTCCACAAGCTACAAAACCCACCAATGAGAAAATAAACAGAAATAAATCAAAAATCCAGATAAATTAGCAAAGAACATGGGAGTCTAAAATTATTTTAATTACATTGTCTCTGTGAGAAAACCCTCAATGATAATCTGTTACAATTGTAGATTTTATATTGATGTGTTTTTTCCCCCAGAGTGTTACTTTTATAGTTTTTTCCTTACGGTTGACACTTGGAAACTCACTTCCTTGCCTGCAGGTAAAGGTCTTTTCAGAGGGAGAAGCAGCAGCTCATGACAACAGGGCTCTCTCAGCCCCATGCCCCTTTATTGCCATGTGATGCGTGGGGTGACCAATCACCGGCGCGCTCTGCATGTGGCCACGCCCACACTCGTCCACGTGTGCCCGCGCCTTTCAGGACGTTGCCTTCGCTGGGTGGCTGTAGGCAGTGGCAGCGCCATCTCCTTCCAGGCAGATTGTGTGTGACGTGGCCCGTGCTGTAGGTGGCGCAGTATGTGCTTCCGAGTTGAGCAAAAGCATGTGGGCAGCGTAGGGCAGGGCTGGGACTGACACGACTTCCTGGCCGGGTCAGTGAGGGGGCCAGTAAATGGCCGGCGACCTAGATGGAGGAGGCGGGGGCCAAAGAGGCAGGGGATTATCCTGTGAGGTGGAGGGGACCCTGCCATGAGGGTGGGGTGGGGGTGGGGGCTGCCGGGGGTGTGGTGAGACACATGGCTGTCCCACTGCCCTCCACCACGGAAGACCGTGTGTTTGACAGGAGCAGGAGCGCATGATCAGATCCATCCAGCCACGCTGTGCAGCCCACACCACCCAGACACCGGCTCACCCCGGGAAGATCCGTCTGAGACCTTTATGTAACACCATAAATACATTTCGTAAAACTGTAACAAAATTTTATACTTATCATTTTCTTTCAAATATATTCATATATAATATATATATATAATTGGTAAAAACACTGAATTGGTGGACTATATATTTTTACTTGTATACCCTCAAACTTGTAGTAGGACACAAGTGATTATGTATTTTTTCAGGATTTTTTTTAGTTTTATATTTCTTTGCTGTTTTCTAAATACATAAGCCTTATCTACTTATTATTTCAGCTGTAAATTCTTTTCAAAGCCACTAGTTTTGGTTAAACATTCTCCTAACAGAACAGATACCACTGTCAATAAAAGGGTCTGAGAGTTACAAACTCCCCCCCACCCCCCCCAAACTGGAAAATGTGAAAACGCTGTATTAAAAATTCCAAATGCGTGAGGCAGCCAAAAATCCCCCACCAAGAAAACTCGACGTCCTATTTAATCGTTTGCTCATCGTTGTTGATCTCTAAAAAAATATCCTTAAAGGCAACTGAATTTTCCTTCTCTCACATGGTGTTCAAGTCGGAAAACTGTCAGAGGCCCAAAAACTGATTAGCATGATTTGGGGAGGGAGGGGGGGGGTCCATTCGTAGGTGATTCTTTCTAAATGGAGTTCATGCATCATTCACACCAAACTGAAAATGTACTGGCTGATTGGCTCTCGGCTCCATGGGAGGGGCTAAGGAGGGGCTCTTGTTGTGGGCAGAGATTCAGATTTAACTTCATTGGACTCATCTTCCATTCAGTGCAAATGCGATGACTAGCGTATAAATTAATATTCATTGATAATTTAACGCTGAAAATAAGGGCTGAAGCTGATGGTCTGGGCGGGGGCTAGCTCTCGAGTAACTGCTTGAGAGCGCGCTCGATGTTCATGCGGTGGCCCACCCGCGTCACCCCCAGCTCGGCAAAGTCATCCTTGGTCAGGGCCGGCAGGTGCGAGCCCTCGATCTCGTGCTCCTGGAAGCGATCGCGGTGCTCGCCCAGGTTGATGCTCTCCAGCCAGTCGCCCACGTCGTACTTGTTCCACAGGTGCAGGGGCTTCTGGTGGAAGGGCCTGAGCGTGAGCAGGGGTGAGGCCAGCGTGGGGGAGGGCGACGGCGAGGGCGAGCGGCTGCGGGCGCTGGCGCTACGCGTCACGAAGCGCACCTCCTTGGGCTCGTGCGGGATGCTCAGGCTCGACGACTTGAGGATGGTGGGCGGGGCAGAAGGGGACGTGGGCAGGCCATAGCTCCGCCCTAAGGGGTCGGTCCTGTCGGGGGAAACGCCTCCAGAGCTCTTGCCGGGGCTGGGAGTCCGGCGGGTCACAGGGTACCGGCTGCCCGGTCGGATGGTATAGGTAGCTCCATAACTCCTTTGCGAGATGGTGTGGAGTTCTCCTAAACTACTGAAAAGTCTGCACCGAGGAGGAAGAGGAGGAGGAAGGGTGGGGTGGGGTGGGCCAGGGGGGACAGAGAGAGAAAGGTTACCAAGAGGGGGGTGGCAGGCCGCTCGGACCAGATCATTCTACAGCTCTGCAACATGCCTGTGGCAGTGGACAGCGAGGCACACGCAACTGCAAGCTTGTTAGTCACAGGATGGTGAGTTGCCACGGGGACTGTCCCTGTCTCTGCCCCATTCAGCCAGGCGCAAACCCTGCCCTTCAGAACGAGGACCCACCGAGTCTGCAACGGCACCAGAGGACGTCTGCATCCTGTTCCCTCTATGAAAATAACAGTATTTAAGGCTGCCTGGAAAAAGGCGCAATTTCCCGGTTAGCAGAGGGCATATAATGAGCATTGATTTTGTTCATAGTTTTTTTCTTTAAAGGCACCAGATGCCGCACAGCGCCCTCTGCTGGACATGATGCGACAGAGCCTGAGAGTAAATCATTATGGAGCCCCACACCTGCCTTTGTACAGCAGGAGAGTTCCATAAAACAGGCCAGATGCTACAGCTCACCTCCTCTTCTGGTATCCAGTCTGATTTAACCCTAAAGCTCCAGCTGACCTCCAACCCTCAAAGCTACGACCCACTTTACTGGCTTTTTCAACATTTTTTTTTTGACTCTGGTCTCTTGGCACATCTTTCTGTCCAAAATTGCAGCCCACGTTTCTAAAATTGTTATTTTAAATATCACCTACACAGCTACAGCCAACAGCCCCAAGAATGGCTGCCTGCATGCAGGATCTGCACAAACTAGGCACTGCTGAACCATAAGGGAACAATCCACATGGACCTCAGAGAATACCGTGATTGGTACAATTCTGTCACATGATCAGGTGGCCAATCACAATCAAATATGAAAGTCTGTGACTGTTCCCTTCAATTGACAAATAAATTCCAAAATCATGTTGCGATTTGAACAACAACAACAAAAACAACAATAATAATAATTATCATTATTTTAATAATAATATTGAATGCTGCAACAAACTCCACATGAATCTTTAAATGACAAATTTGCATTAGTGTCTCTCCTGCTCTGTTGCACTGCATTATTAAGCTAGCCAAAGGACTTCAAGCACATAGTTAAAAGACTATAAGCTGATTAGCTTTACACCACAGGAAATGTAGAGGACAGACTGCCAGGCTGTAGCCATGTCTTTGAATTAAATTCATATTTTTATGTCCTGTTAGTGACAGTTTATTTAGTGGAGACAAATGGCAGGTCATGCAGCAGGTAACGGAACATAATAAACAAGCGGACATGTTTGAGGGCGACCCAGCCTTCATGTTGCAGAGAATGCTTTATGCTTTTTGCGATTTCCCGGTGAGGGAAATCTCACGGAAATATCTGTGAGTAGCTCTTTCAGGCTATCTATCGTATGTGAGGAGGAAGATCAGTGAGACGCTTAGATGTGCCTGAAATCGAGTCCTCCCCCTCTTGCATTCTGAGGGCAGCGGTGCCCGACTGCACTCACACTGTGATATTTTGTCAGCCCCGTGTGCTGAGGGCTTCGGGGATCGGCACGAGGAGAGAGAGGCATTCTGCATCCTGAAGGCTGGAGACTTTGAGTCACAGACCAGCTGACATAACAAGGAAGAGCCCCACAGGCGAGGGAAAACAACAGCAAAAAGAAAAAACAGCACTAAGGCAATGGGCTCTAAGGCAGCATTTCCCAATCCGGTCCTCGGTGACCCACAGACAGCCCACGTTTTCGTTCCCTCCCAGGGAGCAAAAATGGGAAATCTCTGGTAGGGAACTGGGAGGGAGGAAAAATGTGGACTGTCTGTCCCTGAGGACCGGGTTGGGAAACATTGGTCTAAGGGGGCCGAGCAGAGCTGTGGTTTTGGTCACCAGACATTGGATGGGTGGGGCAAGGGTATTGGGGGCGGGGGTTGTGGGCAGGGACACACAGCAGAGAGTGAACAATGAAGATTGTAATGAGATGTCCATGCGCACTTACACAGTTCTCCCACCCTCCTGGGGCCAGACTCAGTTCTAGACAGAGCAGCGGAGGCATGCAGAGTGAGCAGAGAGAGAGAGGCAGTGAGAGAGAGTGTTAGCATCAGTCCATGAGAGAAAATAAATGAGCACACAGTTCATATCTTAAACACAGAGGGAAAAAGAAAGGAACTCGACCAAATAAACAGGGACAAGTGCTCCGAGACTGCTGAAGGTAATGGTAATATGGCAATGGGCCAGGCGTGGATGCATCCAAACCAGCCTGTACCAGGAACTGAAGCGGTACAGACGATGGCTGTATGATTAATAGACAAAGTAATAGCTTTGAATTTAGTAATGGAGTTTCCAGCCCGTTGATGTCCTGTATTACAGAGAATTAAGTCTGGGAGCAGGTGTCAATGTCATCACAAACTATTTTGTCAAATGAAAAAAAAGGAAAAAAATAAAAACGAAATGTAACCAAACAACAAACGAACAACTCAAACGAATGCAAACCAATGAGTTTCAAAAACAGCCAAAGCTATGAGACGGTCCTGTTAAGGACGAGCTGCGGAGGCGCGTGGCGGATACAGCAGGTGAGGGTTATGCACGAACGACAGGTAACATTCACGTAGGCAGGCTGCAATGGGCCATCTTCAACAGGCTCAGAATGAGACAGGGTGGATCGGAGACCTAGCTATGTTGCAAGACAGTTACATGGAGATGAACAACAATATGCAAATGAACATGGAGTTGCTACGTGCTGTGGGATAGGGAAAGCCTGAGGAACTATAGGCTGAGGTGGACGTGGAGTGGTGCTAAGGGACTGAAGGAAGCCTGTCTGACTAACCAATCCACTTCCAAATGACATGAGAAGGATGGAACTCTGATTGGCTAGGTTGCAAGCATGTGTATCGGAGCGTCCAATGAAATGACAGTGTAAACCGAAGGGGTCCAACATGCCTAGCCTCAAAGCTCAGATAGTAAGATGGCACTAATTGTGGAGAGAAGAAATAGATCTTTCCCTAGTTACAACTTTCCTACATTCTTCAGCTTCTGGTATGTTTCAGAGTTGCAGACCGCAGTATTGCTTATCTGACAGCTTGGATGCAGCACTTTAAGAGGGATGGTGACAGAGGGTGATGCCTTATGGCATTTTCAGTATTGGCATGAATGTGTGCACACCTGAGTCTGAGAAAACAAAACTGGGGGGAGGCCATGCCGCTCCTTCAAAAGCATGTTTAAGCATTTATAAGATAGAATAACCATGCTGAGATGACAGCTAAACTGTCCTCCTACTGGGCGTCAAATGCAAAATAATACAGCCTCTTATTGAGTATAAAACATACTTATCGAGTTATAATACTTATCAAAAGTGAAAGGGAGACTGGAATTAAGCTTTCAGTTACAACACTGACAATTTTATTTTCACTCAGAAATGACGGGAATAACGGCAGGAGTATGAGCGAGTCAGTCTAATAATGAGTATGAAACTACATTCCTGTTAAATCCTTGCTATATTTGCTGCTAGATGATGAAATTTTACAAGGATTTTTACCCAGAAAGAGATGGATATTTCTTGGGAGTTAAAGAACATGATGTTGATGTGGAGTGTCTTTCCCAGGTTGTCATTACGGCAGATTTTGACCTGTCAGACAATGTTAGGAACAAACTGAAACAATTTTGCCCTGGATGTAACAGTGCGGCAGTATCAGAGCTTGAGATTGAAACTGACAGTTAAAAGAAACTAAACGCCCTGGAGCCACTGTTATGTGAGAGTGGAGGCCTCCAGGCAACAGGGGAGTCACGGGGGCGGGGCTAGACAGGTGGGCGGGGCTAGGCAGGTGGGCAGAGGGGTCGCTTTGTGAGGGGTGTGGGTGTTGCATGCGGCCAGGTTTGCACTTTCCATGTCTGCTATTACCTTGTGTGCACCTTAGGTCCTTATCAAGAGCAAACGCTCAGAAGTACCAGACGCTGATCTTTGTTATCGACAAAGAGGAAGACACCATGCCTAATTGATAAGGTGTTCAATATTTTACTCCTGTAGAAAATTCAACATTTCAACTCCCATTGTTTCCGATAAATCTGACTGCATGAAATCATTGAATGGAGGTGGTCATTTTGGATAAACTATGCTATTAAAAAATGTACAGACAAAAAAAAACCCTTGAGGGCAGGAAGTGATATCATACTATAACAGGAAGTTCAGCCTTTGTAAGGGCGAATGTAATAAGAAACGAAAGCTGTAAACTATACTCTATTGGGACTTCGAAGATGCAGCAACAAGGTAACACCTGACTTGGCAATAAGAGAAAATAAAAATAAACAGGTTAATTCAAAAGAAAAGGGATTAGTCGATAGGCTGATTTAAAAATTGAGGTCGTGTTTACCCTAGGAGCTAAAAACCTATGGTATACTGTCTTCGTTTTTCTTGCCATATCTGTGAAAATACAAAGGCTTCAATGTGCTATGAGAACAACAACAGCTGCTTGATTCCCCAAATACAACACAACATTGGCTAGCAGTAATTATATCACTAATCACAAATCACTGTGATTCCATACATAAAAGGTGCCCTGGGTTATTATGTAATGTATAATGTCACAACACATGTCGAAGATATTTCAAGATATTTGGCCTACAGTCTGTGAGACCGAAGTAATCCTGAGATTTAAAGCTTGGAATTGTAACGAGCTAAACATAATGCTAGCGGATTAGCCAAATGCTGCCGAAGATTGTTACTTACCATTGTACTTACTACTCCACTGATAAAACAAGTCACGCCAAACATTACGTAATGTACTAAAGATATTAAATAGCTTTGTAGTATTTGCCTTGTTATATTATTATATTCACAGTATGTCTTTTTATTCCCAATTGGTAGAAACTATATTATACTACTCCAGGGTTCAGAACCTAATGGAGTTCCAGAGTCCCAGTCTGAAAGGTACAGTCACTTTATCAGCGTATTTGTCTAGTTCTTGCACTGTATTGTACCGTATATGTTGTTACGCACTGTCGAGTCCCTTTGTATTCGAGTAAGGCTGTACGAGTAAGCATTCCAATACACTGCCTGCACATAGCCAGTAAAGATCCTGAATCTTAGCCCAACCTGCACACTAAGTACAATGGCTTCCTTCCATTCCCCCAGGTTTTGTGGGAATTTTCTAGAAGGGACCCAGAGAGCGAAGTCAGGCCTGAGGCCTCTTTATAAGCTACAGAGGGGCTCGGAGGGAACCAAGAAATGGACTTCTCTCCAGCGCCATTGGGCCCAATGCTGAGGTCTTACTGCACGGCAGTAATTCTCTGATGTTGACTTTTAGGGTTGAATTCTGTACAAATGACCACAAACTTCACCAGCGGTAAACTTTCTATTAATCGGCCTGGATTCGAGTTTAAGCTTCATCAAATGAACTGAAAATGAGTATGAAATGAAAGACCTTTCAAAATGAATGATGAGCTTAATGCTATAAACTCTCAGAGTGTTTGGCATCGATCGGATCCATATTTTGAGACAGAAACTGACTACAGTATTTGAAGGCAAACATTGAAACATGCTTTACATACTAAGACCACAGTCACTACAAGGAGAAATGTAGCAAGAGAAATTTTGCTATCGTTACTTTAAATGAGGAAATCAAGATAATAATTCATAAATAATATTGAAAATGATACTTAAACAACTCTCTATGAATCATTATATCAATCTACTGTTTCCTGCAAGTCAGCCTGCCTGTATTCTGTAATTGTAGTACTAAGTACTGATATGATAATCACAAAGCATTAGCTTATTTAACATAAGATTAATGTTTGCTGTATTAGTAGATAAAGGAACAATAGAATATATGTGTCTCTCCTGTCTTCTGTAGTGTAAGCAGAATGGGTCCATACTGCTGGCTGAGGCTCCTTACCTGGCATCCGCCACAGGGGACTTCCTTCCGGGGTCGAGGTTTCCTCCGATGGGCTCTTCCCCTAGCGAGCGTGTGTCCTTGTTCAGCTGCTGGAGCCTGGAGCTCAGTTCACTGATCACAGTGGGCTTGCCGTCCTCGGGGCCGGGCAGCGGCCGCGTCTCCACGGGATCCCCCCAAAGCTTGGACCTTCTCTGGAAGAGGTAGCGGGGTCGGCCGGTGCCGGCGGCCGCAGCCAGCGCAGCCGCGTGTTGCTGGGAGAGGAGCTCGCTATCCGAGGACTGCTTCAGTAGAGGGTCCCTGAACGTCACAGGCCCCTTGCTGAGCTGGGACTTGAGTTTTGGCTTTGGAGGCACTGGCGGCTTGTCGAGTATAAAAGTCTGCCCGTCGGCGTAGGAGGTGTATGTGTCGGTGGGCTCGCTGCTCTCTGACGACAGCGTGGACATGCTGGAGACCGTGGAGATGGTGCTCGTGGTCTCCAGGTGGTGGTCGCTGGAGCTGCGGGTGTCCACCTCTTCCACCCCAGAGTCGGCTGCAGACTCAGGCACCAGGTGGGTGTCTGAAGGCTTCCCTGAGGCTGTTCCGCTAGCAGGGTGTGCTGCTGCTGCTGTTGCTGCTTGGGTTGGGGCGGAAGGCGTGGCCGGCTTAGCCAGTGCTGGGGTGGCTGCGGTCGCATCTGTCTTCGGCAGTAAGCCGTTGGCAAACTCTTCGGGTGGCGGCACCACGCCGATCTTCCGGAGCTCTTCCCGGGTCTCTTCATCACTGGAGGACAGCAAAGCAGGTGGGAGAGTAACAGTGTAAGGCTCTACATCCTCCTCGGAGCTACCCTGAGCCAGCGTCCTCTCCGCTGATGTACCGGCTGGCTGTGGCTGGGTGGCTTCGGGGCTTGGAGACTGGGCTCGCTTGATTTCAGCCAGCGTAGGCTTGGAAGGCTCCACAAGCGAGGTTTGTGGTGACAAAGAAGGCTCCTCCATGCTAAGCCCAGCTTCTTGCCCATTACTTGTCGCATGTACCATAATGAGGCCAGCAGTCTTCTGCTGAGATGTATCCACGATGCTTATGATCATGCTCTTCTTGTCCTCCTGCTTCCTCTCCTCGACTTTGTCTGCTCTTGCATCAATCTCTTTGCGAAGCGTGGTCGGCGTCCCCCATTGTGTTTTGGGTGGGGTCATTGTGCCAGATAAACCTGCTCTATCTCCCGGTGAGAAGGGGGGAGACACCAGCCTCGCTTCTGCTTCCATTCGCTCCGCCTCTTTGGTCTGGGAATCGACGAACAAAGGCCCCGGTTTCTCGTGTTTAGTCCTGGGCTCTGGGCTGCTGGCGGGTGACTGGCTCTGAGATGTCAGAGCCCGCTCTCTTGCGGCCAGCGCAAGTGCCAGAGGGGAGTTGGGGTCTAGGGGCTTTCCGGTCAAAGGGTGGATGAAGGTGGTCCCGCTCGGCAATGGCCGGAGCACGACAGCGGGGGGAGGCAGCTGGCCCAGCTCCCTGCTAAGCAACCTTTCGTCAACGGAGCGGGACTGCGTCAGGGACGGCAGCTCGGGTGCTGTAGTGCTACCTTCGACAGTACCGACCGACAGGAAGACTGTGGATTTCCTCCTTTCCTCTAGACGCTTCTCCCGGTCCTTCACGGCCCCTGCGATCGCAGCGGCAAAGGGACCTTTGCCCTGTTGTCCATCCCCTAAGGCTCGGGCTCTCTCCTGCAGGAGTTGCTGCTGGTAGTACTCAGCCCTGCTTGTGTGGGGGATCCGACCAGTGGGAGAGTGCTCTCTGGCATGGGCGGAGGCCAACGCTAAGGATGCTCTCTCCTGAGCGTCCTCCACCTGCAGCTGTTTGACCAGGGGGCTCTTTTTGCGCTGGGGTTTTGTTGGGGTGTACAGGCCGATGCTGAACTGACCGACGTTGGCGTATGGGTTATCGATCACCCTCCCTTTCCTCTTGATCTTTTCGGGAGGGGTGGAGGACGGTCCGGGACGGGGGATTTCAGTGGGCTCCACAGGTAAGTGGGAGGAGTCCTGCAGGATGATCATGGAGCGAGCCTTCTTTTGCCGCTCGGCATGGACTGAGGGCCGCGGCGGCTCGTACATCTCGGCTGGGGTAACCACCTGTGACAGGCCGTGCAGCTTTGCCTCGGAACCTGGCTTAAAGCTGGAGCGACTTTGATCATGACCCCGCCCGGGGGGAGGTGGGGGACAGAAAGAGGGTGGGGGGCCTGTGTCCAGGTAGTACGGAGATGGCGGTGGTGGGGGGGCACTTTGGGGAGGTGGAGGGATGATACGGCTCTCTTTCAGGCTGTCCGTCATTGACGAGCTCCTTGGAAACCGATGTTCCCCTGCCAGTGCCGACAGTCGATCCTCTTCTGTTGCCCCTATTAATTGACATGCCATTAGTGTGAGACACACGAAGCCTAGACGGTACAATTTGACATGGTCACTAATAGCTATGCAGACAAGTACAGTAATCAATGCAGACTTGTAAGTAGCAGCAGAATTTTCTGATGTGCCTGATTGAATTTCATGGGCTTAATTGCCGTATTTAAGAATGTCAGGTCACCCCAGAGTGTAAACATCAGTGCTACACACTCCTTACCAAACGACTTGGTTCTGGACATCCCTTTCGGCAATGGAATGTGGGTCTTCTCCATGCTCGGGGGGAATTCGCCATGTATGGCCATTCCCTGGCGCTCAAACAGTGACTGCGTTTCACAGAACAGAGCAAGATCAAAGCGTTAAGGGGAAAAAAAACATGATCACAAGGAGAGGGCTTGACCAACAGGAGAGACAATTACAGTGAATGTCAGCTAAAGCAGCATGAAAAATATGGTTGATGGTAGGTAGATGGCACACCCGAACTCACACTGATCTCTGCTGGTGTGATTCTCCTGCTGGTTGGCCGCTGCTTCACGGTGGCGGCCCTGTAGTCCGCCTCCGTGGCCTGGGGCCGTAGCCCGGTCTCCTGGGAGCCCAGCATCTCATCCAGCCTTTCTGCACATGTGGACAGAAGGGCCCAAGCTCACGGCACTAACACGACACCACGCCGGGAATCCCACCCTTAAACCCAATGCACAACAGTTAATGCTAATTACTTGTTTTGAGAATTTTTTCGACTCAGTATCCGTATCAATATCAGTAGTGATTAATGATCATTGGTCTGTACTGTGGAGCCTCAGTGTTACTTACCACCTCTTCTTCTCCTTGCGGAAGCTTGGAGGAAATATAGGGAGGGAAAAACCTGACTGATTATATATCAAAGATATTAGATGCAGGCAGCTGTAACCTATAGCTGCCTTTGCACATCATAAAGAAATTTTAGCTAAATATCGACCTTCAAAAATTGTACATAGTAAGAGTTTCCTAGTTGTTTTCCAATAGTTACTTAGATGTCATGATTAAAATGGGATTCTGTCCTGTGTGTCAGAAAACCACACATCTTACATGTTCCTAATCCTTCCCCAAGCACGTGGCGAGTAATGGACCACGTGGTGACGTGTAACGGGACACGGGGAACCCCTGCTTTAAGGCCTTTGTCACAGCATTCCTCCCTTTTTCATTACTTACTAATTAAAACTCTGGGGATGCAGCAGTAGATGTTTTCTTGATCAATATTTAGCTAGCAAACATTTTCAAGCTGGCCTACATCCATATTTCACCAAAGCAATTCAGGTTAATTACCCTGAAACGGTTAACAAAAAACAGAGAGGTGGGAGCTTGACTCTGAGTCAAACCCACTCTTTCGCCAATACGCCGCGGTCCCTGATGTGATGTTTGGAGAGAAGTGAGACCGGTGAAAGGGGGGGGGGGTTGGGGGGACACTCACCCAGTTCCTCCAACTCGGCGGTCATGGACTTGGAGCGCAGCGTCAACGTGGTGCTGGGGGCCCGCTTGGGGGGTGGAGGTGCTGCAAAGAAAAGTGAAGATGAAGTGACTTTGGACCTCCTGGCCAGGACCTTGCGGGCACTGCCCAAGTGGAGGTGCCACTTCTTCTTCACCGACTTGATCTCGTCATACTCGGGTGAGCTGGATGCCTCACACTGCTGCAGGACCTTGTTGAGGCTGCGGGTTGACGCAAACTTCTTCATGGCCAGCTGGGGATTGGCTTGCCGGCTGGCACACAGTTGGCGGGGTGGCCCTACCCTACCCGAACAGACCCATTCGCAGGCGCGATGAAACAAAACTTTGTTCTGCCGCTAAAGCTGCTCGGATTATCTCCATTTCCTCCGGCTGCGGTGACGCTTCCAGTCCCCGATTCACATGACCATGCCAAAAATCACACCGACCCGCCGTCATCCAAAATGACTCTTCAGAGAAGAGAGCCGTCCATGTCCTGTCCTGCTTCTAACAATGGTGAAGGACTAAAATGTTAATTTTGAAAAAGACTGTTGCTTCCTCTGTCCGGGTTTCCATTTGGCTCTTGGAAATGCACTCCTACTGGGGTAGTCCGGCTTACTGTCAGATGGTGACTGCTGTCAGGCCTGACCTTGGCAATGTGACAAGAATCCTGAGAAGTACACCTATTCCCACCTCCGTGTTCTTACGTAACAAATATCGCAATTATTCATCAAGTCTCTAGTTAAGAGGCACTCCCAGGAGCCGGAGCAGCGGCAATGCTGTAATAAAACGGATTTCAGCAGAGAGTAAGTCTCAGGTGGTGAGAGAGGTTGAGAGAAAGAGGAGGGGGAAGAAAACAAGTACGGAAGAGGGAGAAACAGTGATGGGAGTGAGTGAGAAGAGAGAGAGAGAGAGAGAGAGACAGAGAGAGGGATAGCGCGAGAGATGGAGAGAGAGTGAGTGAGAAATTCCCAGGCTCTAATGCAAGGCTGAATTCAAACGTTCATTGTGGTAACCATGGTAACTCTGGCAGGAAAGAGAGGCGCAGGTTTGAGCGGCAGCACCAGTGCTGCAAGACGATTCGTTCCCTCTGCTGGGTGGTGGGCGGACTATCGCAAAGGCTGGAATCCAGGCTGTGCACAGAAAGGAGCACGGAGTTCACATACGTGCTGCTGTCTGGCATTTCCAGGACCGATGACACCATGGAAAGAGGTACGACCACAGACCGTTTGATAGTGTTAAAACCGTCACACCAAAGTGAATGCAAAGCCTTCATTTCCCAGAGTCGATTTCAGTCTGTGTCACAGGGCGATTGAAGATCATAACGGCTCCCCAAAAGCCACAGCAATCACCCATTCCTGGTGCTAATGTTCTTGAAGTTCCTAATTGGAGTCTCCATCCAAAATGTGAAAAGACTCATGAAAGTGGTTTTCTGGTACCACTTTGGTCTTGATGCACCTTCCCAAGGCAGGTTTTGAGGTTCCTTCTAGAGGCAGGTTCTGAGGCACCTTCCCGAGGCAGGCTTTGAGGCAGTTACTGATGGTTAGTAAAGCTGAGAATATACTTCTGGTGTAGCACCTACCCTGTAAAATTCACACTTTGGCACTCTACCTTACAGGGTGACGGATAGCCTATCCAGTCCTTCTCTTTCTTCTCAGTCCAGGGTGAGCCTGGACTCCTTTCCCCCAGCTGCGCAGAGTATCAGGCTCTGTCTGCTCCACTGGATCGTTTACACGATGGCTTCTCCTGGACAGTGGCCTCAGAAAGATGCCTTTCTGTCCACAGGCAGTCCAATCTGACGATACAATGCCACACCAGAAGGTCGCCTGCTTTTTGAAATGCGGACAAATCAGAGGAAACACCCTTAACGACAAGATCTCAGACATGAAATGGCCCCTGAGCACAGAGTTTGGAAAAAAAAAATGAGCAAATCCTTTAGAGGAACGGCACCATATGAACGTGTTCCAGGTGCAGCCGACAGCGCAGAGCTACCTCAGGGACGCTGCGGCAGTTTAGATCCATTTTGACTCTGTGAGACTCGGAAGCAGTGGGAAACAAAGCAATTATTGTCGCGGCGACGACTTGTCGAAGTGTGATGAGTAACAAGCGCTGCTCTGTTCACTCCTGGTGGCCCCCACGGTCTTCCTCCCCCTCCCCCGTGGAAAGTAAGTCCTCGCAGTTTCCAATCCTTCAGGGAACACCTTGCCTGCAGCCGCAACTCGCATGCAGGTCCCTCACTGACTGTGCTCAGCGACGCCCCCCACCCCCCCCGAGCTTCTTGGCACAAGCTTTTGAATGGAGGCAGGGCAGTGTGGTGGTAGTATCTGGTGTCGACTCTGCAGGAGGAGCCGGAGAACTAGGTCAGAGCTACTGCTGCTGTCTACCCGCTGTGGCTAGCTGATATGTGCCCCCCGCACCCTCCCCCAAACACATCTCTCCCTCTCCTGCTGGGGAGAGGTGCACAACGCATTTGGATTCTGTGTCGAAAGCAGTACGTGCAGGCAGCTCCGAGCCCCGCTTTCCAATCACCCTCCCGCCATCGATCCAATGCTGGCTGTACCGTTTGCTTTCGCCCAGCACATTGCACGTTCTGTCCTGTTCTTTTTTCAGGACCTCCATATAGACAGTGCAGTTTAACATGACAATGTGCACATCCTCTGTAAACAAAAACACGCACCTCAAACTCCCCGCCTTCACAAATCCTATAGAGCAGTGCTTCTCAGCCCAGTCTTCAGGGACCCCCAGACAGTCCACATTTTTGCTCCCTCCCAGCTCCCGGCCAATCAAGAACAACAAATACCTGGTACAGGTGTGCTGGGAGCTGGGAGAGAGCAAAAATGTGGACTGTCTGTAGGTGCCCTAGGACTGGATTCAAAGACACTATTGAACCCCTGGATTCTACACTGGGTTTGCAAGCAGCTATGTTAGTCTGTTGCAACTCTGATGACTGCATCCTATGTTCTTTCATCAGGGCACAGACTAAGACTATGACTAAGAGGTAAAATATGTGATTTTAATCTCTTTGCTCTGTTGCAGGAGTCCAGCAAAGAGAAAATAAAACTCTGGCTCAAAAGCATTCAGACTCTTACAACAAAATGAAAATGGTCTACAGACATGACTGTGATCTTAAACTTCAGTGTCCCAGTATTGGGCTTCAGATTCCTGGGCTGGCTGTGCAACCATAAGGGGCCCCATCCCCACGGACACCGGATAATGACGGCTTGGTTTGCTGCCTGATCACCTGAACACCCCCCACATCACCCAAGTCAGGCCTGTGGATGTGTGCAGATTAGCCTGCTATATAATTTACAGCACCTGTCCTGCCCGAGGCCGAGCAAATTATTACTCCCTCACACACCGCGATCCCATTACGCTTCAATATTAAATATAGATTTTACACTATTTTATTTCAGGGTGAAAACATGCATCAGTTACGGCCCGGGCGGATAAGACGGCCACCCGTTCCGGGGGCCTGATGGAGGATCTGTGTTTGCTCTTTCATGCAGGGGAACACGGAGCCTTTGTGTCGCCCGTGTTCACGCTTGTGCGTGGGCTGCTTCTCCGATTGATGCTGAACTATGCGGTACCGTCTGGTCTGGAGATCAAACTCTGGAATGTGCAGGCAGATCAGTAAAAACTGCAATGCTGGAAGACCTGCAAACAGACTCTGCCTGTTTCGATGGAACAATGCATCTAGTTCACGAGCAGAACATGCCCTTTTAACCACAGAAAAGGCCCCTATAATATTACCCAACTATATTAAGCCCGACATCACAGTGTAAGGCAGTAAGACAATATGGTTAAATTGTTTAAGATGGTTCAACTGCAATACCTGTACGACAGACACTAATGATTTTGTTGTGATTCCTTCTTGGTGATTGGCTGCTTATCTAAAGTCCTAGAATTTAAACATCCAAAAGGTTCATTCACAGCAAGCTTAACTGTACCTTGCGTTGTTTGCTAATAGTGTCAACTCTCGAAAAGATTCATTGCTTTTGCAGCTGGGCAACTAGTGCTCACTTGATAGGAATAAGTATGCCCATTCAAATTACAGGTACATGTGCTGGCAATGAGAGATAAAAGGGAAAGGAGGTAAGAAAGCAGACAGAGGAAGGGTGTGGGGTGGAGAGTAATAGTTGGAGATGGTAGGTATGGAGCGTAGGAGTTTGAGGTGGTAGGTATGGGGGGGTAGGAGTTGGAGATGGTAGGCATGGGGGGAAGGAGTATGAGATGGTAGGTATGGGGAGTAGGAGTATGAGATGGTAGGTATGGGGAGTAGGAGTATGAGATGGTAGGTATGGGGAGTAGGAGTATGAGGTGGTAGGTATGGGGAGTAGGAGTATGAGGTGGTAGGTATTGTTAATGGACCACATGCTCACTGTAATATAGTTAAAATAGGTGGAAGGGGTTAACAGCTGTCACTTTGCATTCATTTATGAGTCTCATGAGGTATTTTGTGCAAAAAAAAAAAAAAAACACCATGACAGACGGCGAAATGAGGCAGCACTGAAGGTGTCCCAACTACCAGCAAAGCAGAACTGCATCTGGCTAATATCCAGGCACAGGGCAGCTTTTCTCAAGAGAGCCTGGTGCTAATGGCTAATGTCCAATCAGGTCCCAAATTAATGTATGACTCCACTGTGAGAAAACGTCCCTAAATAATACAAAATTTGAGCATGGACAGAAATGGACATGTACACCAAAGCAGCAGAGCAGTCTGAATACCCCAAACCTGCACCACAGGGACACCTATCAACCGCCACACAGAAACAGCTTCCTAAAGCTCTGGCAGTCAATAGACCTTCAGCCCCCATATTTTAACATGCTTGTCCTGCGCTCATTTGTCAGTTTAGATCAGTGAAGGGGGTAACCCTTACCTTTCTTTCGAACAACCTCTTCCGACTCTGGCTTTCGGGTTACGGAGACCACTTTCATGAGGAGGTGGTTGCCCCCTTGGCGGATGAGTGAGACCACCTGCTTATGGCCCACCTTCACCACGTTGACGCCATTCACCTGGAAGAAGTGGGGGAATCATGACTGCATAACGGGCTTTCAGAACTGGTAGTCAGGCATGTTGCACTGGCTGACTTCCTGAAAGGGGGCCATAATGTTGATTGCTCATGGTTTTCTCTGCACCCTGGCAGAGATACACACTACAAGGGTACCAGCACCCAACGTATTTCGGAGCGGAGCAGCACCCCCACACATCTTTCGGGGAAACGGTGTCAGAGATGTGAGAGTGACAGAATCGGGTCAGGTTTGAGCTGCCTCCAGCAACTGAAGGAGAGCGAGCCGAAGGCGCTACTGATTGGATGTGCGGACCAAGCTAAAACCTCCCTACCAGTCACTGAGGAAGTTTATAGCGACACCCTATTCTGGGGGTGCTCAATAACGCCCCCCACCACCACCACCACCACCACTTGAAAACACCTGATTAAAGAGATGCTGCTTTTTCAAGTCGGACGAGCAGCAGTGGCTGCGTCGGTGACTCAGAGAGCGGGCATCTTCGGGGACCTTCATTAAAGCCAGCCAAGTGGCTAAACGGGCTTTTCCACTGCAAACTCTTCCTCCTCTGAGAGAAAAGCAGATGTGGTTCGTGATGGAGTGAGATGTCTAGAGGAACACAGCACAGAGCCTGGAGCTGTCGTTACCTGGTTTCTACCAAACTGGGATTTCCTTGAGGGTCTGGGAAATGTGTACATGTATTTCTGTTAGGTATGGCCGTGGGTGGATTGGTGCACAACAGTCCACAGCCCAGGTGTGCCTTTCTGAACTTGTGAGCCGTTTCATTTCCGCTCCGCCCTGCCTGCCATCTCCCAAGATCTTGTACTTGTCACGCTAACATTAATCTGGCAAATTGGACTGTGGTGCTGTATTTTTGTAAAATTAAACAAATGTAATTTTTTAAAAACCTTGCTAGGCTACATTTCGTGTTCCGTTAGGGGAGGTACACTCCAGTTGACACCCCTCCACAGAAAATGCTTCTTTGGTAAAGCAATACTGCAAATATCAGCCAATTGCAGCCGGCTAAAGGCTACCTGGTGCTCGTCTCCCCACAGTCCCATCTCATTGACCGTAGTCCTGAGTCACGTACAGCTGGGCCCCAGTGCTATGAGTACCAGCCACCCACATGGCTGGGCCTCGTCACAGTGCATGCGTGAGTCACCCAGCGCTCAGCCGTGTGCTGCCGGCAAACTGAAGAACAGGCTCCACAGAATCATCGGCAACATCTTGCCGAAGGATGGAGCCTACAGCAAAGCTTCCATCCTGTCTTTGAAGACCCATGGACATCAGAACTGCCGAACAGAGTGAGCACGGTGGAAGCCTGTCAGGTTTAGAAGCATATCTGACATCCAATCCCTTTGGAAGTATCTTTAGCATGGGCGTAACAGAGAATTCTTTGGAAACATGGCAGAGAACAGCTAACTTTAACCACTGTGAGACAGACAGATCTGGAGGAAGATGGTAAAGGGCTTCTGTGGCTGGACATGAAGCCCAAGCCCTTAACAAACGACCAAAAGGCCCATCGTGGCTCTGCCTGCTCCCAGCGTTGTCATAGTGATCTTTACGGAAGGAAGTTAAGAAAAAAGTGATGCGAGCTGTCTTGTGTGTGACGGTGCAGATCAAGGAAGGCCATCTTCCTCTGTGTGCTGTCTGTCAGACCAGCAGTGGGATGTGCAGGTTGTGGGTAACAGCCTGCTATTAATGTAGAACCGCTCAGTTTTTCCATAACTGACCATATAGGAAAAAGCTCCAGGTGGGAGGGACTAAGGTACATTGTCAATCACTTCTTGGTCCACTCTAGTGGTAGCCAATAAAAAGTAACCAATGGAAAATTCAACCTGCTGGTGATTGATTGTAGATGACATGTGCCACCCCACTTTTCAAAGGTATATCTTATTGTGTGACAGGCTGCCATCAACAAACCAGAACTTTGCAGCAGCTCCAAAAGGAGCGGGAACTTTGAAGGATAGCTTACCTCGATGAGGAAGTCTCCAGTCCGAAGGCCAGCCCTCCAGGCCACGCCTTCCACATCCACGGACTCCAGGTACTGCAGTGCCGGGAAGGCTGGCGTGGGCGTGAACTCCTCGATGGGCGTCTCCGCTGGAGACAGGAAGCTTGGCACAGGTTAACATGCACAGACACACTGCTGCCATTTACAGGTTCACAGTGGTGCAACCGCAACCCCCAACAAACTTTCCTCCGTGCTCCATCTGTGCAACACACCGCTGATTCAAAGCACAAAGCAGACAATGGCTACACAGCCCTGTACTGGCTCATGCCACAGCCACAGGATGTCAACAGATTACACGTTTGGGGCCATCTGTGGGGTCACTGAAAACAATCTCACCTCCATCATGAGGTGTGAAAATTGAGCTAATGAAGCTGAAGCTGCCTGCGACAACGGCGCAGTGTGGAAGGCTGTGGACATATGGGAAATTTTAATTTAGGGATTAACTAAAGCTCTGGCCCCAAACAGAGTGGACTTTGTGGGACTACACTTTGTAAATGGCCCCTCTTCCCAGCCATACGCGTAACAGGAACACCTTCAATTCTATGGTGGCGAACAAACTCACGGACAAGGAAGCATGGAGCTGATCAGCTGTGTGACTTGGGACCTCAGTGGGCAGACAGAACAGCGTAAACGGAGCTGGGCAGGGTTCCATTACTGTCGGCCATGTCCCGGGATGCCGGTGTCGCTCTGAAGCCCCCCCCAAGGGTACCATGTCTTTCTTAACCGTATCCCTCCGCTGACTAAGAATCAATCTCTTCATTGTGAGCGGGTCCTTAAAGCCATAACTGACAGAACATCAAACCTAGGAGGGTCCTGCAGGACTTCCTGTTCCAAACGGTGCTCTTTCCATGTCTATATATCTGTTATTCTGCATGAGCAGTATCTCTGGATTTGCCCTCTTGTCTGTTGCTATGCATGTGCAGTTGAGGCCAAAAGTTTTGAGAGTGACACAAGTATTGGTTTTCACAAAGTTTGCTGCTTCAGTGTTTGTAGGACTTTTTGTCAGATGTTTCTATGGTGTACTGAAGTATAATTACAAGCTTTTCATAAGTGTCAAAGGCCATTATTTACAATTACATTACGTTTATGCAAAGAGTCAATATTTGCAGTGTTGAGCCTTCTTTTTCAAGACTGCAATTCGCCCAAGCATGCTGTCAATCAACATCTGGGCCAACTCCTGACTGATGGCAGCCCATTCTTGCATAATCAATGCTCGGAGTTTGTGAGAATTTGGGGGTTTTTGTTTGTCCATCCGCCTCTTGAGGATTGACTGCAAGTTCTCAATGTGATTAAGGTCTGGGGAGTTTCCCGCCAATGGACCCAAAATGTCGATGTTTTGTTCCCCGAGCCACTTAGTTATCACTTTTACCTTATAGCATGGTGCTCCATCATGCTGGAAAAGGCATCGTTCGTCACCAAATTGGCTTTGGATGGTTGGGAGGATGTTGTGGTACCATGGCTGTGTTCCAAGGCAAATTTGTGAGTGAGCCCACTCTCTTGGCTGAGAAGCAGCCCCACACATGAATGGTCTCAGGATGCTTTACTGTTGGCATGACACAGGACTGATGGTAGCGCTCACCGTTCCTTCTCTGGACAATCTGCCCCATACATTTGGAAAGGGGATTCATCAGAGAAAATGACTTTACCCCAGTCCTCAGCAGTCCAATCCCTGTACCTTTTGCAGAATATCAGCCTGTCCCGGATGTTTTTCTTGGAGTGAATTGGCTTCTTTGCTGCCCTTCTTGACACCAGGCCAAAAAGTCTTTATCTCACTGTGAGTGCAGATGCACTCACACCTGCCTGCAGACATTTCTGAGCAAGCTCTGCACTGGTGGTGCCCCGATCCCACAGCTGAAGCAACTTTAGGAGACGGTCCTGGTGCGTGCTGGACTTTCTTGGGCATCCTGAAGCCTTCTTCACAACAATTGAATCTCTGTCCTTGAAGCTCTTGATGATCTGATAAATGGTTGATTTAGGTGCAATCTAACTAGCAGCAATATCCTTGCCTGTGAAGCCCTTTTTTGTGCAAAGCAATGATGACTGCACGTGATTCCTTGTAGGTAACCATGGTTACCATAGGAAGAACAATGATTTCAAGCACCACCCTCCTATTAAGGCATCCAGTCTGCTATTATAACTCAATCAGCATGACAGAGTGACCTCCAGCCTTGTCCTCCTCAACACTCTCACCTGTGTTAACGAGAGAATCACTGAAATGATGTCAGCAGGTCCTTTTGTGGCAGTGCTGAAATGCAGTGGAAAAGTTTTTTTGGGATTAAGTTCATTTTCATGGCAAAGAGGGACTTAATTGCAATTCATCTGATCACTCTTTATGAAATTCTGGAGCATATGCAAATTGCCGTCATAAAAATTGAGGCAGGAGACTTTGTGAAAACCAATACTTGCGTCATTCTCAAATCTTTTGGCCACGACTGTATATTGTACATTCCGTATTTATTCTCCCAGAAACATCTATATCTCAGGGATGGAAGGAAACAAGTCACTCCTTGACGAGTCCAAGTAAAATCTCAAGTCAAAACATTGGAAGTCCGAGTCAAGTCTCAAGTCATATGCCCTCAAGTTCAAGTCAAGTCCAAGTTTTGGAGTCGAGTCACAAGTCATCAAATTTGTGATTCAAGTCCAAGTTGAGTTCTGAGCCAAGTAAGACCCTCATTGTACTCAGTACTTGTACCAGTACAGATGACAATAAACCTTTTGCATGATATAAAAAAAAACATATTGGGATATTTGACATTTTTTGTGGTTAATATTGCAATATTTATAAAATAAAAAGGCAATGAAATTTAGAGTGTGTCAGATAAGTTGGTGGTATTGCTTCGAGTTGTGTCAACAGACACAAAGGAGTGCCAGCAAATCACTTGCTTTTGCTCAATATTGTCTCCCTGGAACACAAATTATTTTCATATAACAGGAAATGAATGCCTTTTGGAGACCAGTTCTTGTGTGCATTTTCTTTCCTCAAATGCACCACACAAATTAGAGTGTCTTACAGCAAGGACAAAAATGATTATAACTGGCTTGGAGAGCTCATGCAAAAGGAGAGGCAGCAAAGTTTAAACTGCCTTTTTAACATATACTCCATTATCTTGAAATGATCATTAAAGTTGTAAGGCTTGGTAAGTTTTACCTCCTGTGACAAGAAAGATGTTTTCGTGTAACTTGTTCTCTTAACCTACTGTAGCTGACTATTGTATTGCTACTGTAATGTGAAAATTGCATGTGTATAACATGTAATGTCAGTATTAATATGGCACACTGCCTGCATGTCATTCATTAGCATCAAACTCTGTGTATCCAAAATCCCTTAAATCGCAGTAAGTCATGTTATATCAGACAGACTTGTCTTGTAGATTAGTCATGTAAAATGAAAACTGTGTGCAAAAAAGTATTGGCATGACGTGTTTAATTTAATTTGCCTGACTTGACATTGCACGTCCTACGATGTGATTACTGTGCATCCACACATCGCGATGACAATGCTGAAACGATATGTTGTACAGCCCTATTTTCAATCCTTTTGAATACTTAGAATATTTTTTCACTTTAGGAGACCACGATACTGTGGCCAAATCCTAAATCCAGTTGTTTAACATACTTCCAATGGATTCTAGAAGTGCTTATATGGTTAATGGAAATCTGTTATCTATTATTAAACTACTCTAAACTAGTTTAACGCTTCTTCACCTCCAACCTACCCATCTTCCAGACCCAGTCCGATGATAATTATTATGAAATAATCTGTTTGACCTTTCGCAAAGGCTACATGACACTTGCTTGCAGACTGATGTAATTATGTTCTATTTCAAGAGCAATTAATGCCTGACATACACCCTGCCACATCAAGCTGAGCTCTTAAACGAACAAGACAGAAAGATTTATGGCAAAAGAGACTGAGCAACATCTGAGGACGATATACAGGTGTAATGTGAGTAACTTATGTAGCACATTTTTATTGGACAGTAGGACTGATCAGCTGACTGACCTGGCCAATAAGAGACACTGGCCTGCATTCACCTGCTAAGGCAGGCTGCTGGACAGCAAATGCTGCCTGCCACACCTTCATATTGATGGCCGGGGGTTCACACCAGAAGCCCCCCCCTGGAACTGGCACACACCACCTTAGACTGACAGCAAACAACAAAGCACCATCTCAATCATACAAAAATTTTGCAGTAATGCTTAAGTATGGACATGGCAACTACAAACCCATGTTAGTAAACATCATACTAATCATACTAACGACCAGGTCAGTCATAATTTCCACAGAGCATTTTCCTCTAAAACATGAAATACGGTATAAACAGGTAGGCCTAGGCCAGAGATGATTCTGTCTCCTGTGCCCAGGTAAGGTAGCTCCATGACCGTGTCTGTGCATCTGTTCACACCATCTCACCTGTGAAAACTGCCTTCAATTAGCATCAAACTTTCTGATGATACAGAGAAAGTGACTATTGACAAAAAGTGATGGAAAAACTATTTTGCTATTAAGAGCAAATTGCTCACACTTGAGTTCCGGCTGCCTGGTGCTGCAGTTACGGTCCATTAGTGTTGATGTATTTCAGGATCCATGCTTAGGCACTGCCCGCGTTACTATAGTTACAGGACCCAGTACAGTTACAGCCACATGATTAAAAGGAGCAGAATCGATGTGGTCAAGTGCAGTTTAATTCTGGAGAAAAAAAACCCACAGAGAACGCTATAAGCCTGCTCACCAAACAGAAACAGAAAATGGCGATTGTTACCCTGGAAGGGCACTTAGTGGTTCGATCAACCGCACAGAAAGCATGCCTTTTGTGTGCCTTAAGGGGGCGCTGGCAATCACATTGGAACAACTCCACTGCTGTACGCCAGAGTACGTGCCAGACAGTGATTTCTGTTCTATCTCTGCTCCTGAATGGCAATGGAAAGGATTTGAAGTTGCCAAAATGGAAACGGCCAGTCACCAGCCAATCACATTCACCGAACCCAGTGGCAACCCGGTCATGTGACACACGGCCAACCCTTTAGGTAAAGAAGGTACAGTGAAGCCCTATCTCTGAGATATCTGCATTTGAACAACAGAGAGAAAATGGTGTGAATCCAGCACATCTGTAACTGGAATATAATTACCCTTAAAACAATGGTCAAAAAACTCACACAAAGTTGTTCAGAAAATATGCAGGCATGCAGGAAGCAAAGACAGTTTTGTTCCCTCTCTAGAGATGCTGGTCACCATTCTTTTTCCCTCCATTTTCTGAGCTGGCCAATCAGATGGAGGGGGGCTAAAACTCCAAGATGGATATAAGTAAACTGCATCTGACTTAAAATAAAGACGAATGTTTTCATTTCAAACATCATCCTTTCTTCTCTAGGAGTGTCCTGAAGGAAGAAACATCCACCTGACCCAAGTTGAGGACTTTGAGATATTTCTTTGAGCACAAAATGTACAAACAAAATCTTCTTTCTATCATCCACTGTTGGCGTCCTGATTGGATGTCACGCAGCTGCCTAATCATGTGAGTGATTCACCTTAGGAAGGACAATAACAGAGTAGGAAGGCAGCAGTGAGTAAAAATGCTGCGATGGGAGCGAGCGCGCGTCTGCGTGTGCTGCCCCGTTCATCTGCTCTGCCATCGGCATGCAGCGTGGGGAACAGATGGAAGCCCCCACAAGATGGGGCAACCCGGGGGCAGCCGTGAACCGAGCTGGCAGGGAGGCCGCCTTCCTCTGGCCAAGATTCCAATGCGACCCCAGATCTGTGGGCCAGAGCTGCCGATACAGCCATGCCCGACCCTATAAACACTGCTCACACACCATGAAAAGAATCACTATGGCCTTACTGAAACCAGCTCGAGATAAATACATCAACCGCACAGCGTGACCGTGGCAACACTCTACAGGGCACTGGGTATTTGTGGAGCACCGAGTCAACGTAGAGGACATCCTCAGTGACATACGATGACACAGCATCCTCAGGAGCATTAGGGAGATCACACAAACACTAGCATCCATGCACGGTGTCTCTTCATGCAGAATAACAAGGAGCTAGGCCAGCCTGAGGACCCTCTCACCTTTGGCTCCTCGCAAGACAAAGCCAAATCCCTCATTTTCCTTCTTCTGCAGGACAGCATTCTTTTCCTCGATGATGTAGTCGCTGTAGAGGAAAGAGAAGAGGGCCTCCAGATCAGAGTTGAGCACCATCCCAGATGTAGATGGCTGGAGCAGGTGGGTGGCCTGGGTGATGGCCAGAAGGTGGGCAGATGACCACCAGCACAACAAAAAAAAACTCTGCACACCCACTGTCTGTTTATTCCTTTGGCAATGGACCAATACCGGTAAAGGAAATTAAGGCAGAAGCTCCTACTCCCGGCCCACCTTTAAGCTATGGAAACAAAACAAAACTCTCGGCGTGCTAACAGCATCCTTAAAAAACACTGAAGCATAGCAAATTCATTCACAGCCTCCTGCACTCCCTGCACGCGCTCAGAGACGGCACATTTCAGGAGACCAAGACGCGACGGATTGTGAGCTCGATAACAAATAAATCCTGGTTCCCTGGAGCACAGGCTCTGCGGTAACGATGCCCCCCCCCCCTCACCCCCCTTGTCTGCACGGCCAAATCTGAGCGAGCGGCGGCTTCCGGTAAGTGTGGAGCGACACAAAACGATGCCATTCCATTTACTGTGACAGCATGGAGAACAGGGAGAGTGAGAGAGAGAGAGAGGGAGAGAGAGCGAGAGGCACACTCACACCCACACGCAGATACACCATTCACTCCCACACACACCCTCTACCCCGGTGTGCTATCGGTGGTGCCCCTCAGGATGGTTTCCCCCTGCCCCCTGATGGACAGCGTCAGGAGGAAGCGCGGCATCACGGCTCGGTCCGCCTGCCGTTCGGTCTCGCCGCTGCACCCGCCATCCGTCGGAGTTGTGCCCGCCCGGCTCTGAGGCGGGGAGCCGTCTCCAGAGAAGCAATGACTCACCGGAGGGCAGCGGGAGAGGAGGAGAGTGGCCGGGGCTGACAGCGAGGGGGTGCCCGTGAGACCGGGAGGGAAGAAGGGAGGATACAGCCGACGGGGGATGAGGAGTAGGAGGGGCAGGGTGGGGCGGGGATGTGAAGGATGGCAGGGGGGGGCGGAAGCTGATAAGGGGGGGATGAAGAAGGGGAGCACAGGAACGTAGCAGTGGAAGAGTGATCTTCTGAAACACATGCAGAGGAGAGAGAGATAGATAGAGGCTGCGAGGATGGAGGGACTGTGACAGGAGGAGAGCGTTTAGGTGACTCACATGGCAATAAGGCTTCCAAGTCTGGAAATTACTGCAACATTTAGTCTCTTATGTAATTTGCTGGATCTGCCACACAGCTGCTGTTATTTCAGTAGCCGTGACCAGTTACCTCACATTCCAGGGAACAGGCAGTACCAAAACTACACACTACAGCAGATATCAGGAGCGCTAGTCTCTACGAGTGCGAAGAGCTGCTGTTTTCTGGACTATTTATTTTAGTGGGTTGAAAATGTTTCATGTGTTCATCCAGTTCTCTCTTTTCCATTGATCTATGTTTTAGACACGTGGCTAATTTTGATTGATTGTAACAAAAAAGGTTAAACATGAGAAAATCAATACAAATATCTTTCACTCGCCATTAGACAATGTGATTATACTTTCTTTACATACCGAGGGTTCAAGCCAGTTAGGTATCGTCATTATCATTTTTAATCAACAAAAACAATCCTTTAGATTTCCTTAATTTGGATTAATACTGATCAGATAGAAAAAATGAATTACAATTACATCAACAAAACTGCCAGAATAAGCTTTTATTTTGCAAAAAGCTCAAAATTAGTATCATTCTTTTTTCTCATCTTTTAAATGAGATTTTAGGTTTTACCACCATAAACAACTGTCACCATAGCGAAAAATACAAGATGGGACTGCTTGCTTCTCCTGCAATATGGTGTGTATTTTGTGGGAATCATTTTCGTTATGTCAGCTAATGCCTGCTAGTGTCTGAAGAATAAGCATGGGAGCAACGGAAAAAAAACAAACTTTGGCCGCGACAAAACCAGCATTATTAGAACACTGTGAACATACCTGCCCTCACCAGGGGAAATTTCCAGAGGTGCTCCTATAATGTCTCGGGCCTTCCTCAGCTGTCCCTAAGGGATTTTAGTCAGGCAGTGATACAGCCAGACCCAAGGGAGGCCCAACTGACATCCAAAAGTGGGCCTTCCTCAGCTGTCCCTTAGGGATTTTAGTCAGGCAGTGATACAGCCAGACCCAAGGAAGGCCCAACTGACATCCAAAAGTGGGCCTTCCTCAGCTGTCCCTGAGGGATTTTAGTCAGGCAGTGATACAGCCAGACCCAAGGAAGGCCCAACTTACATCTAAACAGCTGAGCTGTCTCCCACATGGCCTAAACCTGCTCAGCTTATTGGTGAGTAATGGCTCCCTGTTACCTGGACCCACCCCGCAAGCTCACTCACATCACACAAGATGGAATAAAGTGAAATGAACACAGCAAAGCTGCACAGCTGACACTTTTGCGGGTGTGTCCGGGAACCCAGCGGCGGCGGGGCACACAGATTGCCCACACGCTACGTGCTACATGCTATGCGCTACGTGCTAAACACATGGAGTCACTGGAGGATCAGCACTGCTGCTCGACGGTAACGCGGAGTGAAAGCTGATAAACCTGGAGATTGCGCCCCAGTGCAGGTCGCTGTCATGCTGGATCCACCACAACTGGAAACAAGAAATCCAGTGAAAAGGCAGTGAAAAAAGACAATAAAGTCCCACAAATCCTGAGGGGTGTCCAGCTGTTGGATCCTTGAGAGAGGTCCACAGCCTAAATCACTCTGGTACATAATCGCTGTATAACTGATTTGCCACTATTAATGAATGCACGTGACGCAATAATAGTAGCAATAACGACAGGGTGATTCTGGCAAGCATGCGGCAGTTTTAGTCACAATGTGCTGCGTGGAAGTTGCACCATGTGTGCTGCACACAGACTGCAGGGCGGCTGAGTAGGAGAGACGTAGGACTCACACCTGCTGGACAGAACCGAGAGCTGGTTCTCTTATCAGAACATATCCATCCAATCATCTTTTGGCTGCTTATCCAGTGGAGGATCATGGGAAAATATTCCTCTCAATGATCTGTAAATAAACCACTCCAGGAGAGGAATATGGAAGCTTAGCTGCAATTCCTTCACTCTTCCTCAGATGTTCTCTGGATTTCCTCAACATGAGCGCGCCACAGACGTCCAAGGCTGTCACACTGGTGCTGGAATTAAATGACACTGTCCCATCATTGGAAAGTGTCCCACAACAAGAAGGCGAAAGCTCCACTGTAAATGTATAACATTACTACCACTTCATGAAGTTAATCCACCAAAGAAAAACTGAAGACCACATACATAAATCACATCCAGTAGGGTGAGGACTAGCTCCAGCCTCAGATGAAGGGCAGGGGCTAGAATCAGGACAACTTTGGCTTTTCATGTCCCAGTCAATGACATGTAACTTCTTCTCAATGGAGACTGAGACTAAGAACATTTCCCAGCAGAAAGCCCTAACATTCATTTAAAACCAGATCGTCTCCATATGACCTTTAGAACTGGAAACTTGCAAGCCAAATGGTATTTTTTGTATCTGCGGAAATGCTATGCTATTGAGCTCCTGTTTAACGTTGAGGTTTAGAAGACATGGGCAGGTAAGAAAACACAAGAACGTTCCTGTGGAAAATGTCACTTTGACTTCTGAGAGACATCAGCGTCTAACTGGACTGTATGTTAAATTCACACTCCTATGTCACAGAAAGAGTTTCTTTGACATTATTTGTTTTTTAGCTCAGTGTAATGCCAGGATTAAATCATGTCTACATAAAACCAAACTTAATTTACTCCTTACACTATAAAGCTTGTGAGAAAATAAAAAGATATTTGAGCCAGATTTTAAGAACATAAGAACATAAGAACATAAGAAATTTACAAACGAGAGGAGGCCATTCGGCCCATCAAGCTCGTTTGGGGAGAACTTAACTAATAGCTCAGAGTTGTTAAAATCTTATCTAGCTCTGATTTAAAGGAACCCATGGTTTTAGCTTCCGCTACACTAGCAGGAAGACTATTCCATACTCTAACTACACGCTGTGTAAAGAAGTGCTTCCTCAAATTTGTTTTAAAATGTTCTCCCGCTTTGATTTGTTATATCACGTAATTTTTGTTTTTGCTCTACAGCTGAATAGTGAATTATGGTGATTGACACAGCTGGATAGAGCCTGACTAACAGCACGATGGATTTTAGATGTAAATAATGCCACAATGAGGCATCCGCTGCAATCATGTGATGAAGGAACCACCTTCTGTGGGGAATAAGAGCAACATGAAACATGGCTGCTTTCTAGAGTGAGATTCATCGGCCCATCAAGCTCGTTTGGGGAGAACTTAACTAATAGCTCAGAGTTGATCACAAGCAGCTTGTATAACCTCTGACGAGGAGGCACTCGTCATTAGGATAGTTACACAATCAAACCTCATCAAAATCTCAAAACTGCACAAGTATTACTCAAATAGTTACTGTTTTACCTCTGAACTTGGATTTTGCCTGTCTACCATCCTTTTTGCCAAAAAAAAGTGTTAGTTAAGCAAAGTTAATATTCCCACCAAAGAATCACCATGTAAAAGTGTAAGCTGAGGTGTGAGAGGGAAATCGAGGTTTGTGCTCTGTGATTGTGTAGTGGCCTTAGCACAGGGCTGATCTGCCAGATACTTATTAAAGTGGGCACACAAGACGATGCCTACGACAGCGAAGCGGGCTCTGGTTCGGTGTTTTGCTTGAACAAAGCCCTCTCATCCAGGCCTGTGATGATGAGCTGGAAGCTGAATAATTTTCTGTAGGACATAAGGGTCTTAAACCAGGACTTCACAATTTACTGTTAAACCTGTAGGGATCACAAACTGAGCCACATTTCAGGATTTCAAATGGAAAAGCCTAGGCACCTTAGACAGCCAGTGGTAACATTATCTTGTGCCACTAGGGGGCAGCAGACACAAAGCCCTTGACTCAATGTCAGTTCCTGTGGAGTTGGCTCAGTTAGTTTCGAGTTATGCGGCTACCTCAGCCAATGGAGCCAATTTCTCGCCAGAATCCCTCGGAGTGTGCCATTAAACAGCTTGGTGGGCCAGAGCGAATGAGCTCGCCTTGAACACTGGGCACTCTGGTGATGGGCAGAGCCCCTACTCCCCTAGGCACGCCCCTCCACGCGTGGTTGGCTGGCCCAACGCCCCGTGGCACAGCCAGAAACGATGACACACCGGGCCGCTAACGGCTAAGCCTGCTGTCACAGCATAGAGACCACATCAAAACCGGTATGAAAAACTCGTCTCGTTTCCCCAAAAAGCTAACAAGTCAGCATATAGTATATGGTTATTTTTGCTCCAACGTCAGCACGATACAAAGCTATTTCATCCACATTTGGGCCCAAAAAATTTGCGCAAATCCCCAAAATTGCCAACATGCAAGGCTAAAATGAATGGATTCATTGTGTTTTCCTTGGCACCCTGCGCCCAAGAATATGAGCACCGTACGCCCACTGATTTTGCCCTCCCCCCAACCACCTTAGCACACTGTGACATCGTAAGCGATTAGCGATGACTAGTCTCATGATAACGAGGCTCCGAGGACATACCTGTACGACGTGAAGTTATCGTAAGATCCCACAGTGTAGTGCCTGAACAGCCTCTTCGTGCGGTCCTCCCGCGTCTCTGCACCACAGAAGGGAGACGGACTCACATTAATAAACAGGACAGACATGAGGACCCAGACCCAGCAATGGCGAACGCATAACCACAAGCGGCCAACAGTGACCCACAGCCCCCGAAGACACGTGGGGCTTTCGGCATGATTCAGATGGCTATCCCATTGGCTGGGCTTCCTTCCCGCCCCCTGTTTGTCACCCAGATATTAGTTGGCCTATCAGTGAGCCCGCCAGGAAGCTGAAGGAAGCTGACGGAAGCTGACACGTGGGCCTCTGCTTCACAGGCTGCAAGGACCTGGTGTTAGCAGGAGGGCAAAGTGTCCAGATGATCAGCCTTGGTGACGCCAGGGGCCAATGCACAATGCATATGTTATCCTAGGAGAGTCCCAGGACCCCAGCAAACATCAGGGTCCCACTGCACCTTAGGACTAATGGAACAGTTAGTTACCCCCTGGGCCCCCAGATAAGTTAATCCATCCCTGTGTGAGTTACGTGAACACCCGACTGGTCAGTGGAGGTGCATGCTAGTGGTTACCCAAGAAACCCAGACCGTAGAGGTCTTGGAAGATAAGTATTGATGAGTTCACCTGCCAGGGGCTCCTGGCCAGTGTTAGCGGATGGCAGAGCTCACATTCATACCAGCCTGCCCTGGGCCACAGAAACCAGTCTGTGGTCTGGCCCCTGCTTTACCGGCCAGGGACATCGGACCCTCGTCTTAAATTGAGGACGTTCATATCCATGTCCGGCGGCGACTATGTGATCTCGCGTTATTGGCTAAGGTGATACATTCCTTCAGGCAATAAACAATTCTTGTCACTCACCACCATTACTTCACTATCTCCAGTCGATTGCAATGGTCTACGATTAAAAATTCAGCTAATGTCTAAAGCAAAATGCTGCCCGTGCACCTTCAGCAGAAGCGGTTCAGAGTGTGCTAGCAGCAAGGCAGTTAGTACTGTACTATAGTGCCAAAGTACCAAACTGAATTCACACACCGTGTAATCAAACGCCCCAAATCAGGTGATTAAAGTTTGCGAAATATAGTACAAAAATAAACTGACAAGGTGTTTCATATTCAGGCACAAAGAATGACAATAAAATTTGAAGGTGCCACTTTTCATTAGTGAATTAAGGTTGTGTGAGTGAAACAGGGAGGATTTTCCTTGTGCAGCCTGCTGTTAATTCCGAACTGAAACAATGGAAACAGCGTAGGGAGGGAGAGGTGCTGTAAAAGCAGGCCATCGATCTTTATGCTGCCTGTGTTTATTTAATAGAGACTGTCAAAGGCTCTGCTGGATTTATGTAATCAAATGTCCGGGTGGCAAATCCATGCAGTTTCCTGGGTGGGACACCCATCTGCTGATGCTACAGCCTGTCAGAATGTGAGGTGGGGTGTGTGTGTGTGTATGTGTGTGTGTGGGGGGGGGGGGTGCTGTTTGCTGGCCACACAGAGACCCAGCCAGCCGCCAAATGGTCCCTGTGTCTCCACCATCAGTCCTCACACTTACACCTGACTTACACATAGAGCGTGTGTATGTACACATACACTTACACACAGTTCATATATTCATATCATTGTGGGGACTCTCCAATCATTTGTATGGGCATAACCCTAATCCTAACTATGACAACCCTAACCCTTACCCAGCCCTAACCTTAACCATAAGTAACCAAACAATATACAATACTTTTGGCTAGTTCAATTTTTTGATTCACAGATTGGAGGTTTATATTGTGGGAACCTGAAAATCGTCACCACAAGCTAAAAAGTATTAGGCTTTGTGGTAAATACATACACATACACACAAAAACACACACAGACACACAGACACAGACACAGACACAGACACAGACACACACTAAGGTTTTCAGCACCTTGCCGTTGGCAGCACAGGGAGCATACACAGCTGCTGGTAGCTGATATCAGTGCCCCCCCAACCCCAGCCCCCATCAGGAGATCAGGATAACAGGACGATTTACTGTCAAGGACAAATTACCATGGTTACGAGTTCATTTCAATACTTATCAAGATGAGTCCTGAACAGCCTGGGCTTTGCTAATCCCGAGTTCCTGCTTTAAATCTGAGGTTAAATCCCGCATATTTATACATAAGGATCTGCCCACCTGCCCCGGAGCTCACATCCAGATGGCAGTGTGGCCGATAGCTGATTGGCTCCACCACGGCAGCGCTGTGCACCACATTTACCGCCGCTCTGCTGGCCATTCTCAAAGCACTGCATCCATTTACTTGCAGGCAACAGATCGAGTGACAGTGGATGAGACACCACACCATGAACATGCCCACCCCCCATGCCCATCATGTTTCTTTTACAGTTTTTTCCAATCATTTTCACACTTGTCTCAATACCATGTCCACTTTTTCACAACACTTCACACAGTGGGTTGTACCAATACACACCTGAGCACATCACTTAACCTTTGGTGCAAAATGCCCTACAACCACCAAAACGTTTCACAATTCACCCAAAAGTGACTCATGCTGCCATAACAATGACAAATACTGTCACCCAACAACACTACTGGGGCACTTAATGTTCAACGGGCTAAAAAACACTAACACCTTTCAGTATTGAAAATTACATATATAAAGTGTGGCTGTATCCTCCAGTTTGGCACAAATTACTGTTATGTTGCATTGTAAAAATAAAATAAACAAGAACTACTTTTGTGTGTAAAAATTGTAATACCAACCAATTCTAAAATGCTGTAATATATTTCATTAGAAATCATGTAGGTGTTGCCGTTTCTTTTTTGCAGTATGTAAATATTTCATTCCTATCAGAAAATGCCAATCCAAAGATGGCCCCTTTTGTACATATGGCAAATTGGCACTAACCAAACAAATTCCTAGATAGGTTCTTAGCTGAAATTTCAGGCAGTTTCATTCAGATTTCCAGCTTCAACCATTGTAAAATGCTTGGGGTGATCTAGGGCAGGGGTCTCCAACTCCAGTCCTGGAGAGCTACTGTCCAATAGGTTTTCTATTCTACCTGGCTTCTAATGAGTCACACCTATACTCAAGTAAATACCAGGAACAGGTGCGGCAAATCAGAAGCCAGGGGGATGGTGGTGGTCTAGTGGTTAGGGATCTGGGCTCCTATTACTGTAGGAACACCGGAAGATTGTGAGTTCAATCCCAGGGGGTGCCACCATTGTGCCCCTGAGCAAGGCGCTTGACCCCAACTTGCTCCAGAGGGACAGTCCCTGTAGTTACCGTACTTCACTGTAAGTCGCTTTGGATAAAAGTGTCTGCTAAATGAATAAATGTAAATGTTTTACTGTAATATATGTGTTGCCATACCCACTGTTTTTGCACAGATTACATTGTGTTGCGTTGCATACAGGAAAGGGACACTCCATGGCCTCATTTGTATAGATGGTGTAGATGGTAACGAAGCAGCAAACGAAAACAAAATTAGGAAATTTCTGCTAAAAGCACAATTATTTGTGTTAGTG